AATTCACCAACAGAGCTTTGAATTAACATAATATTTTCACCCCGCAAACTTTTGTCGTCGACGCCATTCTACTTTTTGACCAATGTAGCCATTAAAATTGTACAAAATGTGATGCTTCCTCAAGAATATCCGGTTTCAATAAATTTTAGGCCAAATTCGTCGGATTAGATGACTTCAATCTATTTGCTGGATGAACCGTACACGATCACTTATTTTAGTTCCTTTTTAAATGCAAGTTATCAGATTCAAATGATATATTAACATTTTTATCATTTTAGTGCACGATACCTGGCACATTTTTTTGGAAACCGAGGTTGGGTCTCGACTTGAGTATGCCTACAACCGGTAAGATAATTTAAAACTTTACTAATTTCCTACTTTCCAAGCCGTTGGTAGGAGCTAGTTATAAGTAATAATGATATGGATGTTCGTAGTATTATTTCCACCTGCCTCAACATATTCTATATAGCACGATGTTACTTCTTTTAGTTAATCAATTATACAGATAAATTAAATTGCAGTGTGAAGTTAAAATGTAATATACACCATGTTTATTTTTTTTTATTAGAGAAAGTCGATTGCCTGTCAACTTCATATTTCTTGTGCTTTATTTCAAAATGAAATGCAATCTCACACATACATACTTGTCTATAAAAGCTTTAGTTAGGTCTGTCGCATGCACTCGCACTAGGATATAAGCCAACCTGATGATGACTGACCGCAGCGGAAGCACCTCACAGGCCGGATCCCGAGCACCTTGACCTGCGCCGAGACCCAACCCACAAGGAGTCTTTTGGCCTCTTTTATCTTTTTGGCTGCTGTAACGGGGCAACTCACTACCACTGAGCACAATCCGGAATTGTCCAGACGTATAGTGGGTGCCTTGACCTGGTCAGTAGAGAACCCTCCCGTCCTGGCGACAGCCTTTCAGCTAAGACGTCAGCAGATTGTTGTCATTGCCAGTTGTCACTTGATTGCGAACTCATCAGAGGCCCCGAACTCCGCGGGAGTCACCGCCCCCTTCAATTTGGTGAGGGCATCGCCATATGTCACGCCCCTCTAGATCGCATCGGGCTGTAGTGTTATAACTACAGCCGCAGTTTTAGGGCCGAGAAGCAAGGCCGCTTCTGCCTCCGCTGCTGCTGCCGCCGCTGTCGCTGCGCTTTCTTGCTTCTTTTGCGCCCTTTCTCGCCTTAATAATTATCTGCCACTCGCCACCGCCTAGACCCTTGTCGGCGGGGTAGGCGCACATGTGGCTGGGACTTCGGCCTGCTGAGCCACTGTGCCCTTTCGTCTTTTCTTACACCCTGTTGACGCACTCATCGTCGGTGCAGCTGGTGCTTGCACCAGTGGAGGCATCGAAGCCCTCGCTTTAGGAGCCGGTCGTGCCCTCGCTTGTGGTTGAGCGCTACGACCAGCCTGACAAGAAGAAGTCGAAGGCTTGGCCCCAGCACTCAGCAAGTCGAAGGCTTGCCGAGTACGAGCTCGCCCGATTAGCGGCTAACGGGGGACGAGGGACTTACTTTCCAGCACATCAAAACGCTGCTGAAAATCAGCCATCTCCCGCTGCATTACTCTAGCATATCGGGCTCCGTTGAGGGTTGAGTTTAGCTTTCTCGAACCCTTCAGTTTCACTAATTTCTATTTTTTTCAAATGCCCATTTTCCTACGATCTTCTTAATAGTTTACGATAGTTTGTTAAGTCACCATAGCCACATTTGTTAAGAGTTTTCGAATGGAATCAGAATTTCTGACAATGTTGAACGGAAGACCATCACTAGCCGGCATTTTTGACACTGTATTCTGCAAATCATCTTCGGGATTTTTAAAGTATTGTTCCATTGATTTATCAATTTTCTTCGACTTTGGCTCATTTTCATTAGACTTTTTTGAATTTTGATCACATTAAGCATTTTTCTTTTTCAATTTCAGAAAGCAGTGTCGAAATTAACTTACCTACGGATGAAAATATGAAAAATGGTCTTGTGACGGTAGTTGATGGGTATCAAGCTGGGCTTTCTGTGATAAGTGTAGCTGCAGGTGCATCTAGTTCAAGTTCAGATTCACAAATGGATATGAAGTCGTCGTATTACCACACAAATGCATATAGATGGGCGTTAAGATATCTCAGTTTGTAAGTAATCTTATATATGAACATCCATGTATACGTAGCTTCCCAATTAATCGACAAACGATTTAACTTCAACTAATTTATTGGTCTTTGAAGTCTATTGTACTTGTTATGTTTATTATAGGGTCTATTACACGCGTATGCACAATTAATACGTAAAATTCAACCTACAGACAATGCGACTCCGTCATTCCATTTTTTGAGGTTATATGAAAAAGGTGAAAACACAAAATTATTAATCTGCTACAAGCTTTTGTTTAACTTGCAATGTATTTCATTGTATGAATGTTTATGTGTGAGGTAAAATATTACGATCAAATATTGAAGCTTAAACTGTCAAACACCAAGCGGTCACCGGTGACCGCGACCTATTGTTCTTTAATTGTGTCTATAAAACCGGTACTCGACGAGTTAACTTGAGCTAAAATTTTGTATACACGTTTAGTTTGCCTGACCATAAATACTTAGCTGTTCAATTTAAATAATCTAAGATAACTCCTAGATACTCTTAGCTGTAACCCATTCTTGGTCACTGTGCCAATACCTAACAATTTATGGTACGTATATTTTGTAGTATAGTACAAATAAATTAAAGACAACACTGTTATTTTTCTTTTGACCATTAATGGGTATACCATAATTAGGTATACCGAAGTATCTAGAGGTAGCATTACCACAAATTATTTATTCTCTTGTTTGTTTTCAAATGGTAGGCTGGGCAATGTGCTACTCATAACACACCATGATTTTTGGCACTCGAATCGATCTTCTTATTTTGTAACGATGATACTTAAACATATGTGTAAACTTGTTAAATACGAATCTTTTTATAATCCTCAATAAAAAATACTTTTCTTTATTTAGAATTCCTTTTTGGCTCGGGGGTAACGACGAGAACTTCTGTAAGACTCACCAAGTGTGGCACCGGCGATTTCACTTTATCGATGAATTTATGCCATCTTGGTTGAAATCCTTCTTTTTCTACGTGAAGGCAGAAGATTGGAAACAAGAAGAGATAGATTACAAAAGATTCAAAAAATATGCTGAGCCGGCATTCGGTAAACATTACCGATATCCATCAAAAAGTTTTAGAGATTTCAAATCACAATATACAGTGGAAACTGTCGAACAAGGTGTTTCCAGATCGGCCTCGGTATAATGCTAATAACTAAAGTTCTACCTTTTTAGTTATCTCCGCTTATCATCCTTGTTAATTTTTATCTACCGACAATCTAAAAATCTGTGTACACTATTATTAAAAAGAGGAACGAATTGATTTTTTGTTTGTTTAAAATTTAATAGGCTCAGAAACTACTGGACCGATTTGAAAAATGTTTTACCATTGGAATCCTACATTGTCCTTAATGAACATAGGCTAACATATTTTATAAGTGAAAAAAAGGAACCAGTTGAAATGTCGACGATGTAATCCGCTGTGTGAGAAACTACTAAAAGCTATTAAATATTGCTTACACTGTGGAATAGTAATTATACTCCATAGAACAATAATATAATAGTAATAAGGACAATCTTAGAAGAACAATAGTTTAGACCTGGGAAAGGAAGTATAGTAGTTTTATAAAGTCCCAGGACTCGCTTTTTTTTAAACTACTGTAATTATTTGATTCAATATTCTGTACAACAATGGTTTGCGAACCGGTAAAGGACTTAGAATTGTTTTTATTACTGATACCTCGAAAGAGATACTGTCTTAGGTACTAGAAACAGACACTGTCTTAGGTACTGAATCGATTCTGATGACATTTGTTACAGGCATAGAATATGTTTTGGAACGGACTAATTCGTTTATCCAAATTCTACCTGAAGTCATTATTCTACGCGGACGTGAGAATAAAGATAAGAAACTGTGTTGTCTGTCACTAATTAAATAGTTCTTGTACGTTATAATAAAATGATATAGGTGTATGGGTGTATCACATCAAACGATACTTTCCATTTTGCTTTTCTAAATCATGTAACGAACAATAATAATGGTATTTTAGATTTACCGCTGCATGCAAGATTCGAGGCAGACGCCAAATTATGGCTGCCAATTATTCTGTTTCTATTTAACTACAATAATAATCATACGGTGCGAGTATTATTTATAATTATTGGGATTTGACTAATACTTGCGGATTTAAATAAGAATTCTGATACTGTATAAAACCCTTTTTATTCTTGTAAGAACCAATCTGAGACAAAAACGCTAATGTCAGAAAAACGCAGACCATAGCAAGGAGAATACAATTAACTCTATCTAAACAAGTAACTCTGTATAATGCGTCTAGCGGTAAAACTACAAGACAGTACAATTTATAACTTAACCATAATTAAATTTCAAACACTGATTTTTGGTTGGCTAGATCGCATAAACATCCTTATGTCGCAATGTGCGATGCAGATTTTATTATTAACTGTATTTTCTATTCGACGAAAAGTCTAATGCAGATTGTACGGTTGGCACTGTGGCTGGGCAACTGGCTGCTGCGTAATTTGTAGCGGGTTCGATTCCCGCACGGAATAACTCTTTGTGTGATCCACAGATTGTTGTTCCGAGTCTGGGTGTGATGTGTATGTGAAGTTGTATGTTTGTAAACGCACCCACGACACAGGAGAAAATCCTAGGGCGGGCAAGCAAAGTTTTTTTTCTGTTTTAAAACAAGGTGCACGCTACAACATTTTACGGTTTAACCGTACAGTTTTAACTATACAATTAAACTTCACAGTTAAAACGGAAGGTGTGTAACGTGCACAATAAGACCTAACAAACAATTATTCACGTTTGAATGTGGGTAACTTCGAAACTAATCAATTCGTCTTGGTGAGCAGTCGGATAATTGTTCATTATCAAGCCGCCGTATCTATTGTTTGTCTAAAGTTACATAAACGCATTTTCAACCGTGTGATCGCGTTCAATAATGTATTATCATGTTTTTGGTGTATTGGCACTACAATACTTATATTTGGTAATAATATTACTCTCAAATAACGTAAATTTGTTTTTATAACAATGATGATTTACAGTTCTTGAATATTATTTAGATTACGGTTTTCATTGGGGAAAATAGTCTTGGCGATGTGGAGACACGAAAAGTGAGTTTCATGTATTTTATTTTTTCATTAATATACAGGGTGTTGTTTTAAAGCCGCGTCATTTTCTAGGAGGTAACTCGGCTATCGATTCTGAGTCCGAATCAATAAAAAAAATTGTATAGTAAATATTTTTCATTTTTCTGAAATTACGGAAAGTAAGTAAGTGCGAACTACACGCCGCCGTCTTATAACTGTTTTTTATAACGCGGCTTAACACACACAAACTCAAACACGTAATTGATATTATTCCTAATTCCATAAAACTCCAATAAGAAACATTGCTGTCGCTTATTCTGAAATACTGTCAAACATAAACGATTAATTATAGCCGTATTTTTAACTATTGGCCCGAAACTTTCTCTTACTTTGAACCTATTTCACTTCTGTGACATGCCCCTGAGAAATGACACGGCTTCAAAACTACACCTTGTATACTTCGATCAACAATAAAAGAAAAAAAGGATTATTATATAAGTTAATACGTCACGGGCGGAGGTGCGGCAGCCGGCCCTTCGTTACTTTAGTTACTGACTTTAGGGACAAGGCTAAAGTAGTTCAAGGTGACGGAGCCCCAATACGCAGCGCTCCTTTTTCAGGGTTTAAAGTAACCTAACCTATCCGCCCACCATGTCGGCTTGTCCTTTTTTATTTGACTTTGTAACATAATTGTTTTATTTGATTCTATAGTAGATTTAGGACTATTAATCTGACAATTATTACAACTCTGTATTTAATTTAAAGAACAGTGTCATATTTCTATATTTTATTAGTTAGGTAAGGCATATTGAAATATAATTTTATAATCTTCGAGCTTGCGTGTTTTATTACTTCATCCAAATCTTCAAAGATATTATTTACGATAGCTAGTCATTGTAATTGTGTCTGTTATCCACTTTGTCTTAGTAGATATTATTTATAATAGATCGTGTAAATGATATCCGCATTACTTTAGGTGTAAAAAATACGTTGGTAATTTTATTTTGTGTGGTTGACGAGCTTTGATGTTTAGCTCACTTATGGCTAGGGTACATTACCCTATTTTTACATTTATAACAATAAACACGTATTAGGGTAAATAAACAACATTGTACAAGATATTGGTAGAATGATAATATTATTAGATGGTATAACGTATGGTCGTAGACTATATCATATTATGTCTCACCGCCACTACCTCTGCCTGCCCTGCCTGCCCTGCTTGCTTAGTGCCTCTGGAAGAACTTTCAAAATTGGCTAAGGAAAACAAGTATGATAAACATTTTTTGTTTCAGCAAGCAACCATTAACTGTACGGCAAAGGTAGTATTTTGGAATATTCAACAGATTATTTTAAAGCGAATGCTAAACTGTTAAGTATTTTTTAATTTGTTCTACTGCAAAGGAACAAACTGATACAATTATTACTTGTGCCTTATCCTTCTCTTTTTTGTACCTAAGTATCATTTTAGTTACAATTTTATTTTTTCCTTATGGTTTTTTTGTTTTTCTATGTTTTTTTTTGTATAAGTTCATTATTTTAAGTCATTTTAAGTATCTTGGCTTTGTCTATAAAGCACGGAAAATAATGCATGCTGACTTTACCTTCAAAAGTTGTACAATAATTTAAGAAAAGCTTAATTGTATAAAGGATATAGGTATTATGTAGAAACACTGTAACAACTACTGATGAATCTAATTAAATAAATAAATTTATCATTAAAAACATTAAATATTACGTTTGTTTTGTATTGGCGTAACGCAGGGAACTTTTATTAAGCCAATAGCTATTTCCCGCGGCTTTTCTCACATGGAAATTGATTATACAATAAACGTTCAACCTTATTAAGTAACTTCCAAAAATTCTGAAACACGTATTTATTTGTTCTAGTGCAAAGGAACAAACTGTCATGCAAATGTAAGTCCTAAGATCTCATTGCTAATACTTAATAGTACTCTCAGGATTATATTTTATACCTACACAGGTAACCAGGTGCCATTTTTAGGTGTAGTCTTACATTGTTTCGACAAGTGCCATAGTCATTCATAGTTTCCAATTTACCAGTACCAAAGTACCACAGCAGCCAGACACAGTCCTACTTTTTTTCTCCATTATCTACAATGGTTAGTTTTACACTAACCGGGGACTGTCCTTGGGTGCATTTTCATTGTGTATACAGGGATCATTGGCAGTTCGTGTCCCATTCCATTTAAATTAAAGTTATTTAAAGGGCCTCTGTGCAGTTGGCTTGGGTGATTCGGTCCCTCGTAATCTTCTCAAATGACTGGGACCCTATAAGACATAAGAATTAAGAGCTATTTTATTACGTTTGTTGCGTTGCTAGAGATTATTTGGTAAGGTCATTTGATAGATGACGTGTAAAAGTGTCACTTTGTAACCTATTGGCAGAAATAAATATCATTTCATTTCGTTATTTTCCATAGGTAACGTATAGCTAAAGTTTATATTTCTAGTCGTTTTTAATGAACGAATATGTTCAATTTATAAATTCAGTTGACCCGTTGTTATGTGTAGACTGAGTGGAAGATATGCTAGCTAAGAAGGAGGCGGGGCGCATGAGAAATTAACGTCCTCGCGCGCCAACCGTAGCGAGAAGCTCCGGGTGTCGGGCATCGCGAGACGATCTCCGTCCACCGTAAGCACGGGCTTGTAGATAGCGAGCACGGGTAACTCGGCGCCCGATCAGAATCAAACCCATACGGCGTGTCGCGTTCCGCTCGCGCCTAAACAGCCATCAGATTACCACAGATGGGGCCCAATAGAGCTGGTGCCGATAAGAGTTGCCGGAGCTCCGGCTCGAAGAGCAGAAGTAGGGACGGGGTAGTTTTTAGTCAGTAAGACTCTGACACTCCCTCTCGCCTCAACCAATGCCAGAGAAATCACTGGATGCTTTCCCTTTCTGAAAAAAAGACTGAGTGGAAGATAGGTGTACTGTGTTTGATTTATTGTTGGGTTATTTAGCAGAGTCAGGGTCTATCTATATATATATATATGAAACCAGTTTCCCGTTGTCACGCCATAACTTGAGAACGGCTAGACCGATTTGGCTGATTTTTTTTGTTGTGTTTGTTATTATCTGGAGAATGTTTTATGACAAAAAATCCTTAAAATCGTACGGGAATGTGAGAAAACGGGATTGCGCGTACGAAGTCGCGGGCAGAAGCTAGTAAAATATAAATATGTAAATTAGTTACATTTCTTTTAAGTTTAGGTCTGTTTTAAGAAAGTAGGTGATTTATGAAAATTATTTTATTCTAGTGCTCGGGTGTGATGGCATCTGCTGCGGTAAGAATAGTTACTACTTGAACACTTGATTATACTTCTATGGTGTAAGCAGGATGCTTAGGTAGAATTTTGAATAACTTATTTAATGGGCTAAAAGAGCTACGTATCCGAAATACCGCTCACCGAAAGGACGGTTTTCCGATAACACTCTCACTCAAACCGACGACGGTTAGTTAAACGAAAAAATAATTGACCGATGAAACGCTTCGCCGAAAATATTATTTATCGACGGTTGGTAGTCCGAACGAATCTTTCGCCGATAGCATTCAGTTTACGCTAGCTATATTTTATAATTATATGCAATGCAGCTAAACAATAGAGGTACTTGAGTCCCATATTTAATTTTATCAGCATAGATGAATAAATAAATACCGGGAGCTTCCGTATTAAAGATAAGTCCCTAAATGACGTGACCGTTAAAAATCGGAATTTCAATCATGCTTTTGAGAAATTTAAGCCCTCCAAGTATGTGCAATGTGACAAGGCTACTTATTAAAGAATTAAAGGACAGTTTAATTGTAGCGATCATCATCACCGGCCCAGCCGCTGGTCAACTAGCTCATATTCCGAGGATACCTATAATTCCAACTGATTTGCCAATCCCATTTAAACGGCTTCAATTTCCGGTTAAGATATCTTTCGCATTGACTATTAACAAGTCAAACTTTCGAATTAGTATGAATCGATCTAAGAAAAGAATGTTTTACTCATGGTCAACTATATAATATTATTATAACATAAATAAGTTGTACTTGGTACTTAACGTTTTATTTTCGGTTTATTCTTTGCAAGCTTCGTACATTTATAATGATTATTATACCTACGTACATTTGTGTGTTAATAATTTTGAAAAATAAAAAAAGAGTTGGTTAACGTCGTTCAATTGGAGATGCATAAATCTTACTATTGTGCCAATAGTGGGAGATGGCGCGTGCCTTTTCCGTGCACTTTTCATTTATTGTATGGTACACAAAAACATTATATGTATATTTATCAATTTACATTCTATGTAATTCTTAAGATCCGTACTAATATTATAAATCTGAAAGTGAGTTTGTTTGTTTGTTTGTTCCACTTTCACGCCGTAACTACTAAACCGATTGCTTTGAATTTTTGCAGACGTAAAGTTAGAAGTCCGGATTAAATAACAGGGTACTTTTTAACCCGGAAAAATTTGATATTCCCGAGGAAAAACATGTATAGATGGCGCTGTGTGTATTGGTATATGTCACATAGGCTACTTTTTATCCTTTTGTGACGCGAGCGTTAAAAGCTAGTAATAAATAATTTGAAAGAATTTATCAAGAAATTTTGCGTCATGTGACAAACGATTTCATTCAGTTAAGTGACACAACTGCACTGCTTATACATTTCAGGCTGTTGGCTTCAATGCATCCTCAATTGTAAGTATAAGAAACCACATAATATTCCTCGCTTAGATCGAAACATAGTTCTTTATATTGTAACAAAATTTATTTTTAAGTTTAAACCTATAATATGGTAAACGGCAAAAAACCATGCTTGGTTCTCGGGTGATTATAATTAAATACGATATGACTAAATCATTACCCATAATGATAAACTATGAAAAATATTATTATCATTATATAATTAAAAAGCAGCAGCAAGCGGAAATATTTGTACCTTTAAACTGATGAAAAGAGATGGATAATTACTATCTCTATTGAATAAGGTATGGCGCCGATTATAAGAAACTATTACTATTGTGGCATTTTATATAACATAGTATTTTCAAAGTTATTAATTTTTAAAATATTTTTTTAATGAAACAAAACAAAAGAAGGGGAAGGTCTTGGAATTCCTATTTTTCTCACAGCATTGACTTAACGTGTGCTTAGTGCGAATATTTGTCCTATTTTAGCGCCTTGTCTGAAGACTAAATTTTCCCCGATATAATAGCAACTTCAATTTGTTGCACACCACCATGTAAAAAAACTGTAAATAGGCGCGTTTTTTAGTAGTGGTGTCCCCTTTAGGCCTAATCCACTAAAGGCCACGCTCCAAGTCGTTAATCAACCATCACAATATCTTCCTACTAGGGAAAGACGAAATGGTTGATTAACGACTCTGAGAATGGCCATAAGTTCTAGTAAAATAAGTAAATAGCACAATCACTACTAGTCACTGTTTTATTTCGTGCTCAACTGGGCAGATTGCAGGGAAATTATTCATCTCAGTAGGAGTGGCTTTACAAACGTATAACCCTAATGCCTTACTCGGAGAAAACGTAGGTTTTGTTTGTTTAACAAATATGCACTTTTTTCTTTTTCTCATACCTTGGTCATTGTTATGTATTTTTTTTTTAGTATTCCAGCAATCTCCCGATGTCCATCTAGCTTTTAATTTATTTCATCCGAAGACATTTGAAAGTTTTCTGCTCGCCTCTTTTTCTGTTTAGGAGCTAATTTACAAAAAAATATATCTAAGGTTTTGTTCGGTGGAGACACTGATAGAAATATTTGTTGGTGACACAAACTGAGTTGATGTACCGGGTACAAAAAAATGTCTTACACTTTAAAGAGTTTTACCCTCTTTCAAAGAGTTCACTCATATACCCTTTTATTCAATTTACCCATTGCAACAAAGAGCTCTCTATCGATCTCATTAATTAATCCATCATGTCCTTTTAATTCTTAGTTATGGTCATGGTTTTCGTAAATGTTGTCATCTCTTTAGTAATAATAATATATGGCATGGTAAAAATATTTCACAAAACAAAAAAGTTTAAAAATTGTTCAAATAAATAAATTATTTCAGGCAGTTGGGGATTTGTCTACCGTTGAGGTAAGTAATAACCAAGCATTTAATTTGATCAGACAAAAAAAAGATTATAAAAGCTGATGGCAACCTGAAGACACACAAGAAGCAAAAGAAGACACCAATAATACCAGGCTTTTAAAGAGTAGGTACCTAGTTTTCTTGAAGGGGATGATTTTGGTTCGGTACTTTGGAAAGGAATACATCAATATACTGGTGAGTGTCGGCTAAAACTATACAAGGTGACTTGAAACTCGACGTATTCCTCTCGGGAGGTATAGGATAGGATAATACAACTAATTTCCTACAAAATTAGCCCTACGATCCTTAGTCCGGAAGTGGCTAGTTTCTGAGATTTTGAGATTTTCAGCAAGGCCGGTTGTTTATTGTGTGCTAAAATTAAATAGTTGTAACAGTTGACCGAGTTTATATCTGCTACAAGCTTCCGCCCCTTATCCACCAACAAAAACAAATACGATAATTATGTGCTCCGATTCTTACAAATATGATTCTTCATCATCGTCCTCATCTGCGTGTAATTGTGCAGGCTTCTTCTCACACCGAAAAGAAGTGAGCATCAATTGGGATGATGAAAGGGTTTGGAAATTCAAAGTATAATTAGTCCGTAAGTTAGGTGAAAAAATATTAGACACGATTTTTTATTTTATCGTATAATAAAACAATACTTAGATAAAACGAATCAACGTTTAGTATTGGGGGCTAAAACGTCATTCTACGTATAAAATGTACATAGAAGGGACGTCACGCGACATTTCAAATCAATAAATATATCGTCGAAAGTATTCGTTTCTGTAAGAAAATAAAAAATACGTGTCTAATGATTTAAATTTGAACTTCAAATCCAATTAGTCCATATTTAATTTTAATTGTAATTAACATGATAGGAAAAACATTCAATTATACATTTTGTTGATTATTGTTTTTTGTTTTCATCACAGTGCTATGGACCATTCTGCACATCTGCTGTATGTAATTTTAAATGTCTATTTATCTTCATGTGTTCCTAAAATAAATGATATTATTATCATAAAGTCGTAGTGCCCCGAGAATTTTTTAAGTTTTTTAAATTATTTATAAATCGTACACTAGACTCCCCATATCAGGCTCCTACTACAGGTCCATCCAAAGGTTGTCTGTAAGAGATCACCTAATGCGATAAGACCGCCCATCATATAGTACACTAATTTTTTTGTGTCTTATGTGTTTTTGTGGTACACAATAAAAAATAAATACATATACTTCGGACAAGCTTTTGTAACTAATATAAATCTTTCAAGATATTAACGTGTGCATAAGATGGGATCATTTATTGTCCATACTAAAGGAAATGGGAGTCTGACGGAGTCACATTTCACACACACCTAAAAACACTGATCGCGAACTTCAACAATCACACTGGACTCTCTATTACGAAAGCCGAAGCCGAGGGAAGACGAAAATAGGACAAGATGGAAGGAAATAACACAGATAGCAATAAAAACCTTTCAAGGGCACGACCTTCAGAAATGAAGCAAACGATCGAGAAGAGATAAATGATACTCAATCTAAATGACGCTACATATTTATTATTATGTAGTTTAGAGATATCTTTTTTATAATAAATATCGTGAGACATACTAAATTAACTAATAATCGCGGGTTACTCACGTGGATATAATGAGAAAAGCTCTACTAGTTTCGAATCACAGCGGGGTTCTTCCTTATGAGCAGCGGCAGCGGCACGGTCGCGGCGATTTTTTTAGGTATATTCACGTGAGTAATCCGCGATTTTTAGTTATAATTAGAGATATCTTATTAATTAAGACATAATTTACCAGATTTTTGTTCAAAATAAAGCCAATTTTTCACCAATACTAATAAAATCTATTTTTAGTGCGACGGTGTTACAAACGTGTGTATGTCAAAAGTAAGTCATATATTATGTTATTAAAATAAATATATGTATGAATATAAAATACAATTTGAAAACCTTTAAATGCTTAGTTATAAAATATTGCAGAAAATAATAATGCAATATTTTCTAGTTCAATATTTGGTAGTTCTCCATTATTTAAATGTGATTAAAATTATTATGTAGTCTGTACTAATATATACTCAGCGCCACGGAATCTTTGCCAAGAGCATATTCTGCTATAACAAGACATTTTAGTGTTTCTCATGTTTGTATGTATGAATGAATAGTATATGAATAGCGGTACAAAAGATTTACACCAATTTAAAAAATAATAGCATTATTGGTTTTAGTGTGTCGGACGCAGTTGTGAAGCACTTGTAAGTATTTTATTAATCTCCTCCGCAGGAGTGCTGGATTTTTCTTGAAGATAACGTTTACAACTGATCAAAATATTGTTTGCAGTGTCGATCTACTTCTTGCGTCACATTTGTAAGTAACCAATAAACGTATACGAATACAGATGTTGTTAATGATCTATTCGTTCAAAATAACATGCCCTGGCTGACTGACTGACTGATTCATTATTGCCGAGTGCAAACTGTCAAGGCACAAACATCAACTTTGAACATTTGTTGTAAAGGCAGTTAGTTAGAAATAATCTAAATAAATTCTTATGACATTTGAGATTCCCTGCGTCGCGTCGTTTTAAACTAATCATTTATGATCATGCATAATAAACGTGTAATAAAATTTTATCCAGTCAAATTTTTGCTTCAAATTTCATTCGAGACTAAATATTCTATATCATTTTAGGGTATGGGGACCGTTTCAACCTCCAGTGTAAGTACCCAATCAACAATTATGTCCTATAATATAAAAAGTATGTAATCGACGTATAGGTGACGATGTCTAATTGTTGCTAAAGCGTTTGACAAAACCTTTTAAGAAGTGATGAAGCAAACTAATGTTTAGTTTGCTTCATCATTTTATACAAAGTGTTCAGTAAATAGTATACAACATACTGTAAGTTGTGTTTGCTACCTAAACAACCCAATATTATAATCAGCAAAATAATACGGTCTAAAAGTTAAATCGCATTTTCCAAAATATCAAATATTCGCTATCTGAAGATAGATCTTTGAGCATATCTCAGAGAATATTTATTAGTAACGTTTTTTTAATGAAATTATTCATGGGCAATTCTTCTATTCATTTGTAGTTTTTTTTTTATACAAGAATGTTTTAAGTTATAACGACATTTTATGTCAATTTTCGTACACCAAAAAAAATGTATTTAGCATTTTAGCACAAACACTTGTTTGGTGGTTTTAAAAGGGTATAATAATAATAGATTCTCGTTATATAAATACGACAAAAAACTATTTTAGTCGCAGAGGAATCAATTTTCTTGAATATGTCACTTACGTAATTTTATCAAATGTCACTTGGAGATTAATTACTAGAAGAGAATCAGAAACTATGTATCTGAAACATTGTTTCCCACTGAATACTGAATACATGGCTACACAGGATACAATTTAGGAGTTTCTTAAAATTTACACGAGGTTGGTAAAAACGGGTATAAATATGTTTAAGAGCCCTCTATTTTCAGACCTTATTATAATTAAAATATTAGCCCTGGTTTTCTCTCGATGTTTTCCTTCACCGTATACCATTGGTATTTAAATAATCTTAAGAAAGTACATGAAACGTCGAAAAGTTACGCACATCAGTTACCTAACCCAAAATCTTGTTTTATACGACCATTAACTATTTTAACCACCCAAAGGTTGAGAAATTTGATAACTCCATACAATTCCCACGAGTATGGGGGAAATATTCGGTCCACCCGGGCAGTGCTCCCTATAGCTGGGTTTTTGTATGTGTTTCCCAACTAGAGGGTCCACCGGTTCTCTAGCTGGGGTGCGCTCGCGACTGACACTATTCCTCGGTCATGCATATCCTCGCTGCGCACCAAAACTTGGTATTGGAGAATTTTTTATAGAGGTTCTCTTCCTCGTGGTCTGGGCGACCAAGCCAAGACCCTCGTCCCGATCCGAGCCATGGAACCATGCAATCTTCCCGTATTTACAATTTCGGCGGCTGCAGTCCTTGCATCCCGGCACAACTTGCATCCCGATACTACTCATTGGTAGGGTGAGTGCCCAACGAGCACCGCCTTCGCCCCTCCGCCACGTTCTTTACTAAGATCAGAGAGATGAGCAGAGAAACGATAAACTATGAATTTCAGAAACTCGTTGAAGTCAACCATCTCTCGCATTGAACACGATATCTCGGAGTTCTTGTATCTCCTTTGTGTTCATCAATCAAAAATCAGCTACTCATCTACTTTTGGTGCATTATACCGACTTCGATGCTGGTTAAAGCGTTTCAAATCGCTGATCTATTTTTGAAATTGCATTTAAAACTTTAAATATTCTCATTATGAAGGTGTTTGGAGAGCTTCGATAAGATTAATTTCCAAGGTCGGGTTTAAATTTTAGCGCAAAGGTACTTGATCTGCATGAGAAACAAAGTATATTAAAATTTGTAAAAAATCTGGTTGTCAGCTGGATGTAAATTACCGATAAAATGATAAAGTTGGCCCTGGATTTTAAAATTGGGCATTAAGTTTCCCTCACATATTTCTTTGGCACCACATGAAGTCAATTGAAAAAATGTATTATAGAGTCTAGAGTAGTGATTTAAGGTTTGAGGATGGATGTAAGACTGATATCAGTTCTATTAAAATTGATTTTGGTTCCGGAATTTTAGGTATACTCTACATCCGCGTCCGTCCACGGTCGTCTTCGCGATCAGAGCAATCCTAAAAGTGCCTTGCCTGCCTGACTTGCTGGGGCTGCTGGCAGGTCGCCATATAGGCACCGAAAACCCGAATCACGGAATTCTGTGAGTTTATCTCTGTTATTTTTAACTTCTACTTAATTTTATACCTAAGTAAACACTAGGGATATGAAATTGGGGATTTTCAGGGTGTATTTGATGTAGATGTGTTTAATTTACGTCTCGAGCTATTAATTTGATACCTGCCTAAAGCAAGCAGCGTCAATTGTGATAACCGTCAGTCTAGGGAAAATCATTGAATTAAGGCATTTCGGATTCCATATGTTCGAAACCTACTTTGCTATTAGATTAAAACATGACAGCTTTTCATCTATGCTGTCGTTATTTAAAATAACCGATCATGTTAATCAATGCACGGTTACTATAAATAATCCTGACAAATCGAATCTCCATTTTAAAGCGTCCATTTATCACTTCGACTAGTCAGCGTCTAATGGTGACAAGCCTAGACTTATTTACTTGGTCAGTAATTAACTGAATTTTGTTTCGGTATTTTGTTTCTGGCATTTATGCCACATAACCGCAAGACTCAAAATTATCTACAGTATGTCTAAAACCACGGTCTAATATAAAATGTAATACGCCTTCTTCATTTATAACTTGGGCATCACAGGTTGCAGCATATGGTTCATCTGCCGCAATTATGGTCCCATCGCAACACACATTTAAAAAGCCTTTAAAAGTGTTCGATTTCGAAACCTATGTATGATTTTCTCTGGAAAAAGTAATCTACAGTAGATATACATATAAATTCCATCAAGAATCGAGATTGCCTTTAACCTATAAGGCGAATAAATCATATTAATATATCATGCAGGCATACAAGATCCCCTCTTATGTGCGAATGAAGGTCTCCTCCAGAGTTTTCCATTTATCGCTATCTTTGGTAATTATCTTTCACTTTTAACCAATTATTTTTATAATATCGTTAACCACACCACAAAATAGTGGATCTACCAACATCAAATAGTACAAACCCAATAGTAACAAGCATACGTCGCATGTATGTGTTAAAACTGCACAGTCAAATCGTTAGGTGTGTAGCATGCATAAGATTCCCGCTTCTTATACATGGGAGTGCGAGTTCAAAACTGGATGCGGGTTTTAAGATTTATTTAAATATCAGATAATGGCAGTAACATACGATGAACGAAAACATCCTGAGGAAATATGGGTTTATAAATTTTAGTTGCAAGTTTAAAACCGCCAACCCGCCTTGAGCAACCGTGGTGATTAATGCTCAATCCTTTTCCATCCATGTAAGAGAGGTTATTGCTCAGCAGGCAGTGGGCGATTATAGGCTATTGATATGATGTGGACCGTAACGTTAATGATTCTATCTTTTTGCATTTATCAGCTTAATAATAACCAATTCACATCTCTACGACTTATATGACTTGTCACAATACTTGTGGACAATACTCACATTTATTATTTTAAATTACTGTATACCTTTAGGTATTTTCTCGATTTAGTTATTCAAATTATCTTAAGTATGTTGATGATAAAACTAACGCACACATCCATTTAATAAATTGAATTAAGGTTTAATCACACCTTTTTTTTAGTGTTTAGGTCATGCATGTTTTGCAAACGTAAGTATTATTATTTTAATAAAAATTCTGTATTGTGAAAATTATGTTAGAATAAATATTCATATAATGAAATATTCAGGTAAGTCATAAACAAGACTGCTTGATTCATACATAAGCGAATAATGTAGATACGTGTTACAGTGTACTGGTGAAGGTTGCATATCGCTGGTAAGTCGAGCATTAACTTCCTAAAAACTATAGATCACTAAATAAGAAGTGAAAAAGCATGTATTTTAGTTTTATCTTTCCGCGTAATACTAAAGGGAATCCGGAGTACCAGTAGTCAACTAAACTCAAAAGTACCTTTAAAGTAAGGACTACACGCTTCTGTTAATATTTGTTGTGTTGTTAAAATATTATTTTTTTATTACAAACACTAAAAATATCGAATTTGAAAATTAATAATAATTAAAATATTTTTTAATTAGTGCGAAGGGACTGGCTGTGCAGCTGAGGTAAATACAATCTACTAACACTAACTAACTATTGAGAGCTTTTGCCATTTCTCGCTGACGGCGCGCAAAGTTAATTCATGAGTACGCGTTAAAGTCTGGCAAACGAAAGTAGAGACTGAAAAAGCCCGGCAAATTTAAAAAATATCAGTATAGCCACCCAAAAATTAGTATGTCATACCTGGAGTATGATATTTACGGACACTAAAATTTAGGAAAATACGGACATTAAAATAAAATTTAGGAAACTACCGTATTATTAAATTGGCTCAAGTAACTTACACTATACTAAATATCTGGGCGTGTTAAAACACATAATTACATTAAGCTACCCAATAGTTGTTGATATGCCATTGTTTCATAAACATCAGCATTTTTCTCTATTTCTATGGTAGTATCATAACGGTTTGTCAAAGTCGTAACTCTCATACCCAAATATTACTTTAAATTCCCTAAATCTTTAATTCTAAACTTTAACATCAAATTCGTATTAAACACATTTACCATGTCTTTCCTGTATGAAAATATTTAAAAAAAATATATATACGTAAATATATATAATAAAATGATCTGTTTTGATACTATTACAACCTGAGGTTCTAACATAGAGCATCTATCTTCCCCTTTTGTGCCCCCTATCCACGTCTCTGTCGCGTAAAGGAAGATTGAAAATACCAGCGTTCGCATAAGTCTCACCTTGGTAGTTTTGGGGACGTTGCGATTACCCCAAACTCTCATCAGCTTCCCTATCGCAGTTTTGGCCAAGCAGAGAATATAACGGAAAATCAAAACTTGCAATCAAAAGCACGTAAATTGCAAGTAGAGCACTTAAAAAGGGAAAACAAAAACTACAATATTTGGTGTGGAAGAGGAAAATATTTCATTTAATAAACTATTTAACAAAATAACATACATACATACATAACTTCACGCCTGTCTCCCATGGGGGTAGGCAGAGACTAAGGAACGCCAATTACTACGATTCTTACATACCTCTTTCGCTTCATTAACAGTCATCAATCTTTTCATGCATGCTCGTCGGTTAAGGGTACTTTTAATTTGGCCCTTCTTTAATATATCGCCAATCTGGTCACTATATGTCCGTCTAGGGCGCCCTCTACCGACGGCTCCATTCATATCCGCTCTGTATACTTCTTTCGTTACTCTACTTTCATCCATCCTTTCTACATGTCCAAACCAGCGTAACATTCCCTTTTCAATCCTTGTCACTACATCGTCTTTCAATCCACACCTCTCTCTAATAACACTATTTTTCACTCGATCACTCAATTTTAGTCCACACATACTTCTCAGGGCTCTCATTTCCACCGCATTAATCCTGCTTTCATGCTTCTTCTGCCACACCCATGATTCACTACCATACATAAGCGTTGGTGTCAATACACACTGCATTACAGCAAGTCGAGCTTTGCTGGATATTATTTTACTCGACATTACAGAGTGTAAAGCACCATTAACACTATTTCCCGCTTTCACTCTCCTTTCAATATCCCCGTCACACTTTCCATCTCTCGTAAATAGTGATCCCAGATACACAAATTCATTCACTTGTTCCAATTTTTCATCACCTATCATTACCTGACATTCTGTTACCACCTCATTTCTTTCTATCACCAACACTTTCGTCTTGTTCACATTTATTTTCATACCTTTCCTTTCAAATGCATCACTCATAGCAGTGACCATTTGTTGTAATTCTTGGGCCGACGAGGCAACAAGCACCTGGTCGTCGGCATACAACAATGTTTTAATCACTGTGTCATTCATCCTTAATCCAGGCTCTCCTACTTTCAGGTCGTTCAAACAACTGTCCATAAATAGGTTGAACAGCCAAGGAGATGCTACACAGCCTTGCCTAACACCGCGATTAATGTCAAACCACTCCGCGTAGCCCCCATTTATTCTGACACAGGCACTCGAGTCCTTATATAAGGATTTAAGTGCCCGAATCAGGTGGCTATCCACCCCATACATGGACAGAGTTGACCACAGTTCATCCCTCACCACTCTGTCATAAGCCTTTTCTAAGTCTATAAAGGCACAAAATACCTTTTGGTGCTTTGATAACACTTTCTCTGAAATGCACCGTAACGAAAAGACTTGATCCATACACCCCATTCCCTTTCGAAATCCCGCTTGCACATCCCAGATTTTACAAAATAAAGATTACATTTAAGCAATATTTAGGTTTTACTATACAAAAATGTGAAATAAATAAAATGTTTCGCATCGGGAAAAAGACGCAGAAGATAAACTAGGCCAGTCCTTATGTAAGCTAACCGAAGTTGATGCAAATCTTCTACGTCTTCCCAATCTCCCACGACAAGTGTTCCAGTTGCCGTTCGCAGATGCGCTGCAATGTTGTTAATATCGCAACGACCTTGGGGCTGCCAAGCACCTGTACGAATTGGCCATATCCGACGTAAATGGGTTTTCTGCCTACATTTACCATAGATAACTTTTAAAAATCTCTTTTGTACCTAGACTATATAAAACTCTACGAATCATCGACTGCATAACACTATATTGCCCGAATACTGAAACGTTTATTAATTATATAACGGCTGCTGAAATGATTGAGCAGACCTCAAATTCTAGTTCTGTAATTAATTTTTGACATTAATTGTTAGTTATTCTTTTATAGACTTATGCAGACTTATGTTACATTAAAGGCGTGGTCAAAAGCCCACTTAAATGAAAAAACCATATACTAAAACTTATTATTATTATTTTAAGTATTGTGTGAATATATTGTAACTGCCCTTTTAGATTTATTCTTTCAATTGTTGTGTAGTGGCCAATTAAATTAGAATTCGTACATTTAGTAATAGCTTTACGACACTGCCAACTTAAGTGTCCAGGATCGTTGCAGTTAAAACATGTGGTGAAATTCCCTTAGATCGACCCCTCATTATACCATTAACAGGGATTGACACTATTAGACGACAGAGTGGCGTTTGAGAAACGCGTATCCTTCGACTGAGTGCCCCTAGCTAAAGTCATACACGTATAGTGATTAGTGATTTTTAACGCTTTTAAAAATCTCTAATGTGTCCTCGGGCTTATCGAACTTTCCGGTCTGTGCACTTAAACGTACACCTGTGTCCTCTATACCAGACACAATACAATCTGCTTGTTTCCCAAATATTTTACAGCGATTGAGTAAATTATTTTATGCAAAATAATACAATTTCAAGGATTCACTAGGGCGTACCCTTCTATCAAGCATTTCCGTAAGTAATTCGGCGTAATTTTCTGTTGAGGGAAAAGATCCTGTAATTTGCATTTCCATTCTAACCAAGAATGTTTAATAGAGGGTAAAACCTGGTATCAAGCTTAAGCATGTCCAGTCAGCTTAAGCAGGGCATAATGAACCGTTTGTTTGTCATTCCAGTTATAAATCTCCGCGCACTCGTCTACTTTATTTAACCAAACGTCAATATTCTGCTTTTTAAAAGGGGGTCGAACTCTGGGATGACGTTATTCAATGAAGACGACATAAACGATTCACGGTCTTTATACCTAAAATATTTGGCAAACTCTTCAAGGAAATCAGATTGATCAGCAAACCTCGTTCTCTTGTGTTCGGGGACCCTGATGTCACTCCGTAGAGGATAACTATTTCTCGTCCTGGACCCGATGATTGTTTACGAAGGGTTGCTGCTTCGTCGCGCCTACGTCGTTCGCTGCGCTTCAGCAGCTCTTTCTCCAAAAGGTACAACCTCTGGCGTAAATCATCGTCATCGTTCGATTCACGATAGCGAGAACGAATGCGCCCGAGTCATCGATCTTCATCTCGTGCGTCTCTTGTGCTCTGGCTTCGTTCCCTTCACGTGCTCTCCTTTTACTCCACCCATCCGGCTGTGGAGACCGTTTGAAGGTGATTGCTCGGAGTTTTGTCCATTTTCAAAAACAATTAGATTTGTGTTTATATTATTTAAAACTTGGTATCACAAAATAATAAAGTAGGTCACTATTAGTGCGTTGTTTCAATATTGCTACTAAGCATGTCTGTTCTCGTCGAACGTCAAGGGTCCAGTATCATCATATATTAATAGAAAATTATAGACTGATAGCCATTTTGCCATCATTGCCAAAATCATTTGAATCTATATAACATAAACATACGTATGTATTCAAATACCTTATTTATGCGATTCACAAAATGGCTTCAGACTAAAAAACCGGTCCGTAAATACTAACATTGACGTCTATAAATATCTATTTGGACTTCAAAAAGGTGTTTGACAGGGTTGTTGGGGGATAACGTAACGTAAGGCGTTTGACAGAGGATATTCTGTTAGGTAAATTATATGGGATGAGGTTTTCTCCAAAGCTTCTTGAATTCTTTGCCAGTAACTTCCGTGATCGCCACAGCACGTGAGGCATGGATGTTTTGTTTCAACTTCATATCATACTCGCTCTGGCACACTCAAGTAACGATTTTGGGACCGAAGTATGTTTCAGTCAAAATTAATAATAATCGACATTGCACTTTTAATATCTTTTACTAATCCAATATTAACCCATCATCAACAATTGTTTTAAAACTAGTTTAATATGAAGGATGAATCTGATGATTTTTAACATTTTTCTAATATCAGGTTCTAATTGACTTGAGCCACCGCAAGTCGCCGCGTTTGGTCACAGTATAAACATATACAGTAGGTTGTCTAAGGCCGCCCGCCGAGTTATTAGCCTACTCTTGCGTTGATCCCCAGGGTTGTCACTTTTACTTTTAGTTAATATTTTCGAACAAGCAGCACTTGATCTAAATTTATGAAAAGAAAAGCATATTATGATTGAATATTTTATCAATTTATAAATTTAGTAAAAATAAATAGCTTATAAAAAGATTATTAACTTCTTAAAATAAACTTTAGCTGTATACATAGTATTCAGAAAGTAAATTTGGGAATACATTTATATGGAAAAATGCGACTCGGCTACGTTCTTAACAAATCAGATAAACTGTGAAATAAACAATACAATACCACATTTTCTTATAATATTTAAGTATAGTAGGTAATTACATTTCTGGTTGAGTAGGAACTATGAAGAATGATAAGAGTAAGAATAAGTAAGTAGGTATCTCATCATCAAGTACCTACAAATTATATTATGCTAGAAAAAGTGACTAGCTTACCTTTCCTGTTCAATAGGTACCTAATCTGAACAGAGACAGTTCTGGAATCAATTAATTATTAAGACACCCAAACACACAGCAATACGTTCTTCTACGATTATCAGACATTTTTTATTTCATTGAACAGTGCCGAAAAGCCGTGAAGCGCGCGCGAACCTCGTGCAGTGTTAGCCCTGCCTGGCGCACTGAGAAACGGGTCGAGATTTTGTTAAAGTGTGCGTGCGTCGACGCATAGATACTATGGCGCACACATATAAGCCGCGCGCGGAGCATTTGTATGAAGATAACCTACTTTGTTCTTTATACTATGGTTTGGTAATGCGTAAACAATTGCTCTTTTAGTTCACAGCATTATAACAGCACTAAAGCCTCCTTCACACAAACAACGGAAATGCTATCAAAAATCGTTGAACGATTGACAACGATCCAGGGCACAATCGCAGGATTGGCTTTTGTAACCAAAATTCTTGGTAACCATTTTCAAATTTGAATGTTAGCTCTTCGTTTGATGTCAATTTAATAAGCTCTTCTTCCACCTGAGATGATATTGCGGTGTGGACATTTGATAATGGATCCAATATTTTTTCTATGATAAAAACGTGCTTGATAGATTGCAGAAAGTTGATGGTGAAAGATATTTAGATTTTTAAATTGAAGAAAACTTTTTAAACACTACATTGTTATTTACAAGAAAATCAAATTTATTTATTTACTATTAAAGGTATACCAACAGCTTCTGATTAAATAGTATTAGAAATAACATAGGTAACAATAGCACTACTAAATAAATCACAACTTGGGCTGATGAGTGCTACATTTCAAACGTTTCCTATACTCTTCAGACATATATATGTATAGTATACATGGTTTGTATTGAAACAATGAGTAATACTGACGATTTCGAGATGGCAATAATTTATGGTTGAGACGCTGGTTGAGACGTCATATTTCACTGAAACTTTTTACTTTTTGTAAAATAAGATGCAACAAAAAACAATCAGAATTTACTAGACAATTTTAATAACTGATTTGTTCTTAAAATCTTAATACTTTACAGTGTCATGCAATAAGGTGCCAAGCTCATGTAAGTATGTTTACATATTAGTCTTATGCCAAACGGCTTTGTACATGGTTCTTTTTCTACGTTAACCAAGCCGCGGTTATGTGGTATTATATTCTGACTAATGATAATGATATTAACAAAGATCACGATAGACACATTTACTGTGGAGAATTTAGTCACAAATATGCAAGGTATCCTTTAAATTTAGTCACAAATAAGTCCCCTCTTTGAGCAGTGGCTTGAGAGACGCTATGTCCTCCTCACCTAAAATAAATGCGGATGTTCAATTCTAAATTCATTTTAAATTTATGTTTCATTGAAAAAGTAAAGAACACAAAAGGAACATTTATTTCGTTTATATTTTAGAACAATCAACAATGTGACCGGGCTGAAACGTATAGGTACCGTCCGGCTACATATAAGTGCTTTTTAATGAGATACTTATAATTGTGGAACATTTAATCTATCCATTGGCACTGTAAGAACATTTAAATAAATGTAAGAAAATAGGACTATCTTTACGGGTTTTAGATATTAAAAAATAACATTGAATTGAAACATCTTCATCTATAACTTGGGAAATCAACTGTGGCCGGGATGGTCCACAACACACGTTACATATTAGTCGCAAATAATCTACAACTGACACTATTTCTATTTCAAGTGTGCTGGTGCCGATTGTGATTCAAGGGTAAGTTAAAGATGATAATAAACATTGTTCTGAACTATTAACCAAGTGAGTAGTTTATAGAGGAAATTAAATATAAGAAAACATTAAACAAAATGTAAAATACTTGAAAAATTTGTACACAACCACACAGCCTAATCATTGCAACGGTTTTGTGCCGGCTTTGAAAAGTTCTGAAAAGTAGGTATTAAATAAGAAAATTTTCACTTTGATTAGGAAGATAGTATGAAAATATTATATCCTCTACACAGTAGGTAGGTTATAGAATAGTACATATTTTACGGGGCTTCCTGTATCGTTAGGATCTTTTATTAACATGTATGTATGCCTTTAGTTATATATGAGGAAATACTTGTTGGATCTTTGATTAACTTTTAATATGGTTAGGTATTTATATAATTATCTACTCAAATATTTGTGAAAATGGAATCTAGATGACACGGCACGGCATTGCCCCCGCCCCTGCCAAGTGATCTAGTTTTACACCTGTCCAGTTCATCCAGTTCCAGATGAATGTTGAAATTGAAACAGTTGGCGTTGAGCCGAGCGTCTCACAGATTGACATAGATTACAGCGCTAACGCAACTTAATAATTTTTCAGTGTTATGGTGGACTTTGCAAACACAGCACATCGGGAAAGAATGACCAAGACTGAAGAAAACCATGTGAAGTCAATGAAAGTGAATTACTGAAATGATCTGTATTTTATTTTATGGAAATGATTTACAATAATATTTATGAACGATATAAATTATTCCTTTCGTTCCCCTCCAATACAATTGTGCGAGTCACTGAGTGTAACTCGCTACTTCTTGTCGCTTGCGGTTGTTTACAGATGAGGATATATACAAAAAGATAATTTCAGTAAAAATTATCTGTGAAATGTATAGTGTTCCAATTATACGTTAATTCTGCACGGTATAAGATGTTTTAAGTAGGTAACTACAGCGTATCTAACAGTACTGAACAATTCCATTCAAAAAATTTAAAAACTTTGAAGCTGGCAGTTTCCACCACGTATATCAGAGTTATTTCAATAATTCCTCTGAGCTAATTACATTGCAAGCATATGGAATTATGCTCATCAAAAACAAACTACCATTTTCATTCCTGATAACAACGGGTCTACTTTAGAAGAGGACCAGTATTACTTTCAATGGTTTGATGGTGACCTCAATCACTCGCAGAATCATCGTGTTTTATAATAGAAAACTGGAACTATTTTAAAAAATATTTATTCATATCATCATATATTTTATATACTTAGCAGACATAGACTTAGCTCACGAGGTTGTCGACATGTGGAATGTGGATTCGGCTATCATTGTGCCGATAGTCGTGTCGGCCAATGGGTTAATCCCTAAAAGCCTCGACATCCATCTCAGGAGGCTGGCGTTAGGTGTATGGATCAAGGGCCTGATACAGAAGGCAGTTCTCCTAGAAACGGCACGTATCGTGAGGAGGTTTCTGTCTCTGGAGCCCTAACCACCGGTAGCTTGGACCATGCTCCCGCTACTGGTCGGATCCTATTTTTTATATTTTTAAATATTTATTTTTTTTTATTTTGTAAGTAGTATTTAGAAATATAATTTATAGAGAATTTTAAATAAATATATGAAAATAATAATAAATTGTAACCAAATTAAAAAATAAACATTAAAATCAAAACAAAAACAAACATGTGACATTAGACTGACGCCATCTTGCAAACTTGCCTGTCGCGCCACAGTCGTTGTCTATCTCTCTCGCACCTTCAGCTGTCTCTGTCGGACTACTACAATCGAATTAATGTCTGGCAAATTTATTTTAAGTCTTTTTTATCTTTAAATAACATAATATTAAAATTACAGACATTATAAAATACTTTGAAATTTTAATAAAACAAAAATAAAAAAATCGCGTATGGCACATAGTTAGCATTGTCAAAAATGTCTGGCAATAAAAAAAGTATTTCAGGTAGACTTATTTAAAAACAAAAAATTAAAAATTCAATTAATTGCCTTCTAAAATGTTTTTAAAATCCAGGATTATTACCTGGACAGGTAGGATGCGCACTAAAGAACGCAACCGCTACCGCCAGCCAGATAGCCCAGACTCTAACCGAAAGTGCAAGAAGGACGACATATCACAAAATCAGGTGACCTAAAATTCTTTCTCTAAAACGTTGCTAGCTCCTATACCATATAGACGATGGATTACAACAATATGCATAAAGACTTCATAAAAAACAGCACAACCTAATGGCACTTTCCCTTTTTTGAACGACGTGTACAATATTATGACCTTTATACTTAATTCTGAAAATAGATACATCTAAATAAAACAAGATCCAATGTGACTTTTCCGAGTTGTATGTACTTTCTAAGATTATATAGACACAACTGACAAACAGTGAAGGGAATCATCGTGAGGACGTTTAAAATTGCCACCTACATTGAGCAAGGGTGGTGATTTATGCTCAAACCTTCTCCGTGTGAGAAGAGAACTTTGCAGCAGTAGCCTCCTTACATGTTGTAGATGTTGTTGTTGTTGAAATATAACTAAACTTAAAAAATTAAGCAAATCTGAGCATATCAAAAACTTAGAACCAGAACAAAACCATGCTAATTGAACACTTCGAGAATCGAGTGAGACACACAACCAGCCAGGAGCATATGCAGTTAAAAACAAACACCAGAAACAAATAAATATTTTGGACAGAAGATCAACGAATACTAGTGGCAAAAACAACCAAAAAATATTTACTTTTAAACTGTCTATCGATGTGTTATGAAATATTTTATATTTTGCAATGTTTTCTTTACAGTTAATAAAATGGCGTTTGACCAGCATCTCGCCTGCTGGTAAGCGATAACGTGGTCATATACCATTCAAATTTTGTTACAAAACCACAGTCTCAGTTCTTTTCTCAAGATAAGTGGAATAATATTAATAAAATTATCCTAGCAGGCAACTTCAAGGTTTATCTACTTATAATTACATTTGAGAGCAAAGAATCGGAGCCACTACCGAATATTTTCTGTTACATGTATTGTTATTAATTAGTAGCGTATATAAATAATTTAATTACCTTCAGACGTCAGTCTGCCTTCGCTAGAAAAGCAGGAAGCGCGCTGCTGATGGAATGAACCCGCAGATAGTGGAGTCGATGTGGTGCATGCTTCTTCGACACGACGTCAGCGTCTGTTTTTTTTTTTTTAAGGGGGAAAAATCATCTAATGACTGCTCCCGCCTGGGTGAGGCGGGAGGGAGTGCCAGACTCTTACTGACTAAAAACCACCCCGTTCCTTCTCCTGCACGTCGAGCCGGAGCCCCGGTTACCCGTTAGGTTCTCCGGTCAGCGTCTACCGTAATCAACACGAATGTGACGTGCCGACTCTAAATAGCTCATAGCACGAGGATGACCATCATACCGTCACAAACTCAGCAAGTCGACAAGCCGGCAGAGGAGACGAACTAGGGTCTTCAATGAATGCAGATTTGCTGATCCAAAGAATTTTTTCAAGTAATTACTAATCAGTGGTACAGAGGTCAGGTGTTCGACTTGAAAGCATATCACCATTGGAATTGAATACGTAATTGACTAACTTGCAGTTATGTAATATAAATTATTGTCATTACTTCGCAGGTAGATTTGTTAATTATTATTTTTAATGATAGTTTAGACATGTGTTGTCCGTATAGCTGATAAGATTTGACTGTAATTGTTTCTTAATTATGTGCTATCATACCTAAGCCAATGTGTTCACTAAATAAAAGTGAATATAACAAAAATTACATTATTTTTAATTCCTAATTATGCAAACACATCATAAAATCCTGAGAGTAAAATTACATTGAGCAACATATTGCTCTCGTGTTACGTTACACCATTGAAGACTGGTCGTGGTCTACATTAGTGTTTCGGCAACTATTAATTGTAACAAAATAGATTCCACACCTGAGGAGACGGCTCAAATTGTAACTTTACTGGTGGTTGGGTCATACGAGTCGAAGACATCATTTAAGTCGGTCAAGTTTAAAGAAGTATACAAGAGATACCTAGAGACTGGGACCTTTATTCAATCAGGGATAGGTAGACAAGCCACGACAGTACGTAGTGTTGGCTAGTGCATTTATCGAGCCATGCTATAAACATCACGTAGTGACCAAGGAGCAGAGTAGGGAACGGGTGAAACCGCGGGGAGAAGGTACTTAAAATATTCATAATAATGAAATGAATACTACATAGATTCCCAATAGATTTAATGTCACTACTTGTAATTATACAGATAGTACTTTATAGACAGATACATGTACTTGTTACATAATATTTCAAATATATAATGTTCACATCAAGTGAAAGAAGGCGTAGTGTAAACAAATTTAAATTTTGTGAAAACAGTTCGGAATAGCAATAAATTATTCAGATTTCATAAATATGGCAACAGAGTACGGAAATCAAACATCGATACATTTTATTTAAATTAGATACAATATAAAATCATCAACCATCTATCGAAGTAGCTAATGATTTACAGATAAGGATAAATATAAGAAATAATAATAAGCGTAGTAAAACAAGTGACATGTTAAAATATAACTTCAATTTTATAATACCTAGATAAATAAATAAAAACGATGTAGATACCAGAAGGAGCATATTCACTTTCCTACAACGATAACTTGTAACAACTGCAGTTACAATATTAACTAAATGCACGCGTCAGCGAAGATCAACGATATGAATAACAAACAAAAATCTAATCATTAAACTGACATCGCTGTTATACTATTGAAAACATAACCAGTTTGATTACAGTAAGAGTTGAACAAACGAAATTCAGTTATGACTATTGTGAGTATGAATTTCACGAGAATACGTAGATAGTTATTATTACTTTCATTTTACATCAGTACATTAATACATCATAAAAGACACAAATGGATACAGAACTTTCGTGTTCTGTTTCATTTATTACATAACATCTTACCCTTTATTTACACAGATTTAATTAGACAAAGGTGCACTTACCAGTAGTTTGTATGAATCCAGTGTTAAAGTGCGATGCAGTATCATAAGCGAGCTTTATTACCATTCAGCGGCAAGATCTCTGAATCCACAATAAAAACATCTAAAACAGAGCTCGATAGCTTTCCTTGGCAGTCACATCAATTGTTCCCCTACTATATACTATGTATGCACAATTCATTCCACACAGCTAACAGACTTCGCTTTCTTTCGATAAGTGGTGAGATCACAACAATGATCGTGTAATCATCAATCAAAGTAGGTAGTTTAAACTGTCAAACACCAAGCGGTCACCGGTGACCGCGACCTATTGTTCTTTAATTGTGTCTATAAAACCGGTACTCGACGAGTTAAATAATCATTAGCAATTATTGATTAGTTTTGTATTTGTTATTTGATATTTTATTGCTAATATATACATTTAAAAATACAAAACTTAAAAACTACTTAACAAAGAAAGTAAAGATAAAAGAAAAGAAAAATAACTATTTACACAGAGCGTCAACAAATTCAACCGCATCGATGTCAATAGGGAATGTACCCAGAAGGCTGGCAGCATTGCCACGTTGTATGGCAATGCTTAAACTCTGGCCGAAGGACATACCAGCCCTCTGGTCACGAGACAACTCGACCAGGCGTTTTGAAATATTCTTAAATACGGACACGGATCTTACTTCTCAATCCCAAACGGCTCAAAAATATAATTACAAGTAAGATATTTATATTTATTATACTTTGCGCCGTTTGAGGTTAGCTAGGTTATTTGAGGTAGCAGCCGAACCAGCTCAACTCGCCGTTACTAGAAGATGAGTTGATGTGGGTGTCGACGCATGTTGAGTCCCACACCAAAGACGTTCCCAACTTCCAGGGCATAATGGACATACCGTCTCAGGTCTCTAACCATCGTCGTATGTCAATTGCCTTTGGTTCCAAAACAGTTGGCACTCCACACACTGACACGAGAACTCGACGGATCGAGCTATCCTACCCGCGCTTCTGCAGCACGATAAGCAGTGTTGACCGAGGTGGCCGACCATCTCACCTCATTGACTGCGATGCGGTTGAGTGACTGAAGTGCCTGAAGCCAGAGCTCGATTCTCACTCACCCACAGCCTATAGGCGGGTTAGCTCTGCAAGATTGGTGCTTGAATTAATGAGATTATAATGTACCAACCTGTAGAGCAGCTCGTCCCATTGTCTATGGGAGGATGGGTTGTCGGGCATGGCTGTATTAGAACGTGGCCAGACAATACCATCGGGTAAGATTTTATTAGTTATGGTTAAAAAAAGATTTTGTATTATTATGATTACATACGCGCGCATGGTAGTCATTAAAACCCGAGCGGTACCTACCTACATTCTCAAAGGTGTCATTAGCTGTCTTCACATTCATACATCTGGTCGTACAAGCGAAGTAGATAATAGTACTCCGAAATGTCTCAAATGTCGGCATTATGTTCTCTTGTCTTAGGATAGTGCGTGCCAGTTTTACTACATAGATCCTTTTTACAAACCTTTTTATTCTCTCAACATGTCCAAACCATCTGATACCTTTCTTGGGTTTTGTCACTACGTTTTCTTTTATACCGCGAAATTTTCTTATCAAGTCTTTCAAACAAAATTATCACCTTGCGGCATAAACACACGTACTTCTCAAAGAACGTATCTTGACCCATTTAGAAAGCCAATAGTTCATTCGGTCCAACTTTCATTCCGTGCACCTTGCACTATCCATTTACAATAGTAACCATATCTTGCACCTGTTCCTCTAAGGAAGTTTAAAAAATCACGGAAACACATTCATTGTCAGTCTACCTAAATTATCTTTAATATCTGTCCATGTACGTACAGATTGAACAGCCATGGCACTGTCAATTATCATTATAATACAGCTGGTGACTATATTTATTGACTATTGGGATTTATAGCCTGTACTGTGTAAGTTAAAGATTGTACGTTGGATGTTGGTGTCTCAGCAGGGGGAGCAGGAAAGTGACCATGAGCTCTTCTGTGGTTTTGTAATGCTGTACCCTGTAATGAAAAATAACCTTGTTTATGTTTTTATTTTTAATTACCTGCATGCCGTAACAACTTTACAGTGGCTATAGTAAATTAGGACTACTGTTAAACAATGATGCATGATATGTCGCAGGAGGGTTGTGAAATCTAACATTACAGCTATCTGTTTCACAAACCAGGGTCATTTTGTAATACAAAGGCTGAACGACCAGCCGATTTGAACACAGCTGAGTCAAAATCCACCAAAGAGTGTGCGTTATTTACTTTTTATAGCCGCCATATTGGAAAAACGTTTCATATAATACTATATAATATCGTCATGCTCACCACGACGATTTATTGAAAAACAATAACAATGAGGCTAAACGTAGGCATAGTATGGTAGAACGTTTCATATTGACAATACATATACTCGTGCAATCACTGTATCCCAAAACGAAAATGCTTTTCTAAATGGCTAGCCGTAATCTAATATGGTGGATTATATAATTTGCCAACGACATGTCGTCGCGACAGATACATTTAAGTAAAAAAAAAAACAGTGTTTTATAGGGATACTTTTGAGTTATATTAGTCTTTCTTTTATTTAAGCAATAGCTCCTATCCTCAAGAATGAAGAAATATTAAGAATAGGGATCACAGTTGCGCGCGGGCGCGTGTTATCGTAAGACGCGCATATTGTGGCAATTTTGAACCGGTTTGACCACTTGCGCTCGACCGCGCATATGTTTAATTGTTTAGAAATGTTTATCAGTGATGGATAGTTGCGAACTTGAATTCGAACCATCAATTGAGATAGCTATTGAGAATAATGAAATAGGAGTGTGTAGGGAGACTATTAGTAATTGTGAGAATATGGAGATATTAGAAGAATCTATACAAAATATTGAAGAAACTGACGGAGTGAGATGCAGTAAAAGAACTAGACAGATTGATCACGATGAAATGTGGACAAATATAACGAGGCGGGGTAAACGTTTTGCCCGAACAAGCCAGGTGTCCGATGAGATAAGAATACCTGAAGATAAAATAGAAATTAGTATAACTTCTGCAGACAAAATACCAAAACAGTTTGGACTTGTACCAAGTTGTTAAAATTAGAAAACATCCCGGACATTACAAAAATTAAATACATTAACGCATTCAAAGTTCTTATCCAATTTAGTAACGAAGAAAGTGCAAATAAACTGATAGAATCTCAATATTTTAAAGAAAAAGGACTGAAATGCCAAAAAACACTAGAAATAAAAGAAAGTTATGGTGTTATTAAAGATATAGACTTAGATTCATCGGAGGAAGAAATACTCGAGGGTTTAACTTGTGATACTGAGATAACAGGTATTAAGAGATTAAAACGCCGTAACACAAATAGTGGCCTGTGGGAACCTGGAGAAACAGTCAGAATAACTTTTAAAGGATCATCCTTACCTGCCTACGTATACATATTTGAAACTAGGATAAAAGTTAGTCCTTATCAATTTCCCGTAACTCAATGTTCTCGTTGTTGGAGATTCGGGCACACAGTCCGAGTTTGTTCATCTGTTAAAGAGATCTGTCCTAAATGTACCCAGTCTCACCCCAATTGTGACACTGTAAGCTACAAGTGTAATAATTGCTCTGGTAAACACATGGCACTGTCTCGTACATGCCCAATATATTTAAAAGAAAGGAAAATAAGGGAATTAATGGCGGAGTTTAATTGCACTTACAAAAGAGCTCTAACACTTTACGTCCCCCCTGAACCAAATAACGTGCAAAAGTTACAAGGAAGAGTACAAGATACGGAAATAGATCATCAGGTGTTAAACCAAAGTACAGACACAGAAAAAAGATCTGCATCACAAAATAAAAACACATATGCTGACACAGTTAAGAAAGTAAAGAAGAAGGCTACTATAACACAAAAATACTGTAACAAAAAGGAGAACGCGAAGAAAAAACAGAAATCAGATACGGTGTTTAACTGGACGACTTTGACAGACAGTGAGTCCGAAATATCACACGAAAATATAGAAAAAGCAGATGAATTAATCTGTCAAACACCAAGCGGTCACCGGTGACCGCGACCTATTGTTCTTTAATTGTGTCTATAAAACCGGTACTCGACGAGTTAAATAAGAAAAAGAATAACAATAACTGGAAATTGTTATGGATTAAATTAAAGGAAATAATTTGGGATAGTGAAGCTAGTTTGGAGAATAAAGTGATGGATTCTGTGAAAGTATTATTTGATTGGGTTTCATCTTTTATTATGGAGTTTATAACAGAAATGCCTATTATGACCAAAATTAAAAAATGGATAACAACAACAGACACATAAACATCAATGTGTTACAATGGAATGCTCAGAGCTTACAACCAAAAATGATGGAATTTGAAAGTTTATTAAATCAGGAAAAAATTCATATAGCTGTAATCAGTGAAACTTGGTTTGATCCTGAAAAGGTTATCAGACTGAGTGGATACAACATATTCAGAGCAGATCGTGATGATGGTTATGGGGGTGTAGCTGTCTTTACTCATCACTCTATTAGAGCTACACAATGTAATGTAAACATAACAAATTCGCAAATACAAATTATTAAAATTAAATTACTCAACTGCAATCATCTAGAAAACGTCGCTTCTATTTATTGTCCCTCGTCAGTAAATACATGCAGAAATGATTGGGATGAAGTGTTCTCATTAGCTCAACATAAAGCTCTCGTCGCAGGCGATTTGAACGGCCATCACTCAAATTGGTCTTCCAGGACAGATACAAGAGGCAATCAGATCTTTGATTCAATAATGGACAGCAACCTTTGTATACTCAATGATAACTCTCACACACGAATAAAATTAGTCAATGGAGCTTTGCAAAGTTCCTCCCCAGATACAACTTTTGTGTCAACAGATTTGGCTTTGAGATTCAAATGGGGGGTCATGAATGAAAATCTGGGGAGTGATCACATGTTAATTAAAATTAGTATCCAAAACAATAAATCACACAGCTTTAAAAAACGAAGAAACTTCAAAAGAGCGGATTGGCAAAAGTACAGTGAGAAAATAGAGGCACAAATAACACGCTTAGAATTGCCAGCAGATCACCAATCCGCATATAATAAATTCATGGATACTATAAATGCTGCAGCCGATGAATTCATTCCTACGATTAAACTGTGCATGAATCCTCTACAATCAAATAAATTCATACCAAAACCATATTGGAATCAAAATCTATCGCATATTGTTGCACAGAGACGACTAGCATTATCCACTTTCAGAAGAAATCCGACCCCACAAAATCTTGAAGTTTTGCAGAAAAAAGTAAGTGAGGCACAAAGACTTATACGACAAGCCAAAAATGAATCCTTCCGTTCATTTTGCACTAGCATAGACAGTGTGACTTCTTCTGCAGAGATGTGGAAGCGCATGAGATGGATCAAAGGGTATAGATCGTCTCCATCGTTTGTTGATCAAGGTAAAGCCGAAACATTGTTGTGTAGTCTGGCCCCCGATTATGTTTCACCACCGACACCTACATTCAATTCTTGTAACGCTCAATTGTGCATACCGGTTTCGATACAGGAAGTAATTAATTCAATTAAAAATACAGATTCAGCCCCGGGTCAAGATAACGTGTCTTATTCCATGATAAAACATTTACCCTACAATGCTAAAGTCATGTTAACCTCCTTATACAATAGATTTTTCTCATCCGGATTCGTACCAGAGCAGTGGAGAAATGTTAAAATCGTTCCTATACCGAAACCGGGTAGTGCCCTAGGCTCAAGTACAAGTGTTAGACCCATTGCTCTCATATCTTGTCTTTGTAAGATATTTCATACCATTATAACACGTAGGCTTGAATGGTTCCTAGAGAAAAAACATTTACTATCTCATGACACTACAGGCTTCCGAAGATCCAAATCCTGTTATGAGGGTCTCTCTAGATTGGTCACACGCATTCAAACTGGATTTTCCAAAAATGTATCCACAGTAGGTTGTTTCATAGACATTGAGAATGCTTATAATAATATAAATCTAACGGCTCTTTTAAACATCTTAGATAACATGGGAGTTGGTTCTATCCTTTGTGAATATCTTTGGAGGTATCTTCATCAAAGACACTTATTTATTGAACTACAACATAACATCTTAGTGTCTCGTATTACCGGCACAGGCATAGCTCAAGGAGATCCCTTGTCCCCCTTACTTTTCAACGCAGCCACAAGTAAAGTTTGTAGAACCATAGATATCGTTTATATCTCACAATACGCTGATGATTTTGTTGTGTATTACATGCAGAGGACTTTATCGGATTCTGTATGTCATATTCAAAACGCATTAGATGTTTTTCAAAATTTGATGATAGAATTAGGTTTGAATGTTTCTCATAAGAAAACAAAGGTGTGCATTTTTAGTAGGGGGAGAAGAAGGAACACTATCCAACTAACTGTTGATAGTAATCCTATTGAACAAATCAATTGTGTCAAGTACCTTGGTATGTGGTTGGACAGTTCCTTAAAGTGGGGTAAACACATACATGAAGTACGGGGAAAGGTCAGTCGTTATTTAAATATTTTTAAAATATTAGCTGGTGCGCAATGGGGTGTACATCCCATACATCTTAGAAGATTATACATAGCATTAATTCGAAGTAGGATGGATTATGGTTGCTTTTTGTACGGAAATTGTGTAAACAACCACCTCATAAAACTTGACAGAATACAAAACCAAGCAATGAGAGTAATAGGGGGATTTATTAGAAGCACACCCATCCACGTGATGGAGGCTGACCTGTGCCTGCAACCATTATCTATTCGAAGATTGTTTCTTGCAAGCAAGTTTTATTTAAAATCGAAGTCGGATTGTAATAACATTCTTATTAGTATCTTAGAGGAGCTGTCTAACCTTTGCCATGGTTTCTACTGGAGAAATAAAAAACTACCAGTATTAATAGAGGCCCACAGAATGTACTCAGAAATTCCTTTGTACTCTAGTTCGTTGTTGAGTATTTATTCTTTGGACATTTGGGTAACCAATGTAGACTTGTCCTACACAATTTGTGATACTGTTGACGGTATAAATATGGCAAAAATAATTAATGTAACTGATCTCCGTAACAAATGTAGAATAATGATGGATGACAAGTACAAACAATATTATAAAATATTTACGGATGGGTCCAAAAATGGGTTGGACTTGGGGGCTGCTTTTTTTGATCCTCAACTTAACATTAAAGCTAAATTTAAAATTAATTCTCAGATTTCTATTATGTATTGTGAGCTTATAGCTATTTCTGAAGCCATGTCGTATTTGCTTAATATGCATCATAACAAATTTGTTATATTTTCGGACTCAAAAAGTAGCCTTCAACACTTGGCTCGAATACCCTCGAGTCTTCGAGGGTTACCGATAGCCATGACTATTTTAGAAAGTATCCGCAAGATGCAGTCTTTGAATAGAAATATAACTATCCAATGGATACCCTCTCATATTGGAATCATGGGTAACGAGGTAGCAGACACATCAGCTCAACAAGCATCGTACGAGGGGATTATTTACAAATGCACACCGCTATACTCAGATTGGCTGGGGCATGTTAAAGAACTGTGCAGACAAAGATGGCGTGAATATTTTGATGAGAGGTCTCAGTTGAAAGGCATCTGGTATAAAACTATCCAGCCTGAACTGCCTCGATACCCATGGTTTGAAGGTAGGGAGATAGATAGGAAATATGTGGTAGCATTATTGAGAATGCGGTCCGGCCACATTCCATCCAACAAATTTAAATACTTAATGGGTAAAGGTACTTCTCCAAACTGTGAAGTTTGTGGAGTAATAGATGATATCTACCATGTTCTGATGGAGTGTGATCGGAACGTACTGGAAAGAAACTTCAAATTATCTGGATTTGAAGTAGGGACTTGTAACAGCATCCTAGCTGTCCCTCTGTCAGAAGATGCTAGGGTTTTGTGTCGACTCCTAAATGTTATTAATAATTAACAAGTATAACAAGTATAACTAGTTAATACTATGTAAGTTTAACTGTTTAAGTACATGTAAGCCTGGGTAGTTCGTAAGATACTTAGCATATTTAGATTTTAGACAAGTTAATTGTAAGTCACGGGGTGACATTATCACTGTGTGATAAAATCCCATAAATAAATAGATTAAAAAAAAAAAAAAGAATAGGGATGATGACTAAATGTCCTTCTTACGACACATTATTAATTTGATTTGAACTATCGTATGACTTGACGATGTCATCAAACCACATATATCTATTGGTTTATTTTCTAACTTCGACATATCAAAGCTGTTTCGATATTTGTTCATAACTGATGGTTACATAATATTACAAACAGATATTTGATTCATCGTCCCTATTTTAACCTTTTCTCAGTTGTTGCAATAGATTAAAATATGATATGAACCTGAATGAATCTGTCACCGCAGACTTCGCAGATGTAGGGTCGGTCTCCCGTGTGTCGACGTATGTGCAAGTTGAGATCGTTGCTCTGTGAGAATGCCTTCTCGCAGTAAGTGCATTTGTATGGCCTTTGGCCAGTGTGTACACGCATGTGACGTGACAACTTGTTGCTGCGCGAAAACCCTTAAAACATAATTATTAGTTCATTAATGAAACAGACATTATAGATAGAATTCATATACATAATATAATTGATATTATAAGGTTGAAGAGATTTTTGAACATGCTAATCTTCGGAGCTACTACGTAACACCCACTTTTCACCAGTTATGTCGTGAATTCCCTTTATAAGTAGTCACACAACACCACATCCTTGTTGTTACTAACATTTTTTGGATTATTTAAGTACAAAACGTAAATTAACATCATACAGAAATGAGCAGATGTATCACCTAATGGTATAAGCATTCAGCGCCACCAATGGACACCCGCAACACCATAAGAGTCACAATTGCGAGGCCGGCATTTAAAAAGGAATACGCTCTTTTCTTGAAGATTTGAAGGTCGTATCGGTTCGGAAATACCGCGAACGACAGATCCTTCCACAGTTATGCTGTGTGAGGCAGAAAACTATGAGAGAAGCGCTCAGTTGTGGCCGCCAACCATCTATATGATGGAGATGGATATGCTGTCGTAAGGGTCGATGACGAAAAGACGCGGCAGGTGTCAGACCAAACAATTCCTCAGAGCACTCAACGTGGTATAAGCGATAGAAGATGCCCAACGAACCTACATCTCAACGCATTGCCAACGTGTCTAGCCAGTTTGAAATATCCCGACACCCAACAATCCGAACCGCACGCCGCTGCACGGTCTAGAGGAAGAAGCTGATACTGGTACGTATTAATTACCTATTCATACTCACAAAAATAATCATTTCTATCTCACACGAATTCCGAGCGTAGTACTGGGGGATAGTTCTTTTATTTTAATAGGGCGTCCAAAAGAGTAACGCAATAGTGCACGTACAATAATGATATTTACCTTTGCCACAAACACGACAGACGCATGGTTTCTCGCCCGTGTGAGATCGTCTATGGCATTGAAGATCAGAAGATCTTGGAAATCCTGTAAGGTATTTATAACATGTAACTTGTATATTTCCATTTTGAACACAGCTAATAGGCATACAGTTATTAAGTGAACATTAACCTTTGCCACAGAAATCACATTTGTAGGGCTTCTCTCCAGTATGTCGTCGCATGTGCACAATTAAATTTGAAGAGTTTGAGAAACTGCGGCCACAGTAAAGGCATAAACAGTTATTTGTTGGCTTCTTATCACGGTGCAGGTCATGCACTCGTTTGTGAGAGCTGAAAATATTTAAACATGTTGTATCAAAAATAAAATGTCAACCAAACTTAAATCGTTATGAAGGTGACAATCACGATTACTCGAATCCATTACAGTTATTGCAGCCAACTATCGTATGTGTGTGGTATGCCTTTTATATACTAATTTATTATCATGCAAGCTGAAAAGCACTTACCGTAAGTTGTCTCTCCTGTGGAACTTCTTTTCACAGACATCACATTCAAAATAGTTTTCTATTGGCATATGTATTTTAGTATGCTTTACAAGTAATTCTCGCCTAAAACAAGCGAAAAAGAATCAGTATCAATCAATCAGTTTTGCCTTTAAAGAAAATGACATCTGATAACAAATAACAAATCCCACAAACTTACTTGCTAAAGCTTCGTTTACAAGTATCACATTGAAACTGGCTTTCCTCGCGTTTGGATTTAGAGTCTATAAATTTCACTGACACACTTTGACCCTCATGATATCTTAGTATATGTTTATTTAAAGATATTTGATAAGCAAACTTTAAGCCACAAGTGGTACACTTATGTTTTCTTTCAATTTGTTTACAAATGCTTCTATGACGCGCAGCAGAACGTAAAGTTGCAAATACCTGAAAAATAATAATTTAATATTATATTTTTTATAAAAAGATATAAATACCAATAGCGATCCAGTGTTTTTACGTGAGATTTTTCGAATGACAATGAAATCACTTTTCAGACTGGACGTTAAAAAAGGCGGACATAATGTCGCTTAGAAATGACTGAAGCTCCAAAATTTCAGTGGGTTATTTATGTGTGCGTATGTTATTACATGGGTTACCACGTAACCAGACTTTAAGAAAATGACAGGTGTCCTTCGTGTCAATGTGTGTATGTTCTGTGTAAGTCTATAGTAGCCAGGTGCCACAGTCGTTGTTTCAAGAGACTGAGTCCGCCTTTTTCCACGTCCTTGCTTTCATATATGAAATCAAAACATGGGGACTAGATAAAACCTTTTTGGAAATGGAAATCTCGACTCACCACCGTTTTATGGCCTTGTAACGCACCCCCATCCATTTCCCGACGTCAGATATTAACCTTATTTATTTTCTCATATTTTTGTGGTACATTATCAACGGTTCATAAAATATAGCCCGGTGACAGATAGCGTAATCTCAGTAATGAGGGTGTTGATATTTATACCTTGTTACCTTTTAATCCTATACATATAAAAATAGGAAAAATGTTTGGAACCTTACCTTGGTACAAAGATTGCAGCGATGGGATAGTTCAGGATGCTCAGCATCACGATGGTTAATGAGATCCGCTTCCGATTGCAGTATGCAGTTGCACGCACTACATACTAAAAGTAAATTGAAATTCTCCTGAAACCACTCGCTCATTAGTAACAAAATCTTCATAACAATTTGTCCTATTATTGGCGTTGTTAAGGTGTTCGGGATTTCGAACGGTTTCCTAATTTGTTTTTAATGTCGTATTTTTTCTCTTCTCACAAAATTTACACATTTTCACATAGGGTTCTAACGGAACTTCGTCTCCGCCTCCGTTACTGCGGAAGGTGTATTTACGTTAATCGGTACAAAAAATGCGACGCTCGACGACGAGCCAACCGTCCGGCCAACAACAATTATTTAGTTCGGCTGTCTTAATTTATGATCCCCTCAGAAATCGTCTGGAAGGTGACAAAGCCACCAAACTAAACCAGCAACAATATCAGCCTCATATTATGCCATATGCTACACAGTGCACTACTATAATTAGAAGAAAATCTTAATAATGTTTGTCTTAACTCACATAATATACATTATTAATAAATAATAATAATCTTCTACGTATCAATTCAATACTTACCAAATTTACGTCTGGTTCGAAAATTTGCCGTAATGTCATTTCTAATGGCACTTTTTCAATTATTTCATTCTGTTCGCTTTTGTCAGTTTCCTAAAAATAATGTTACATATTAATAGCAAGAATCAAATAGGTATTATTAATAAACTTAAGTTTTCCGACTACCAATCTGGTAGAGCCGAATTCTATTAGTATTTTCCCCGATCCCCTTGTAACCTATTTGCAGAAATAAATTCACTTGTTTCACTTATTTCGGCCGCAGCAGCGCTTACTATTCAACCAATATAGATTGCGAGCGACCTTATCATTATACACTTTATTTTACTTCTTATTAACTTACTTATTTACAAATATTATAAATTAGAAATATTGTGTGTATAAAGACACTTGTTTGTGTAATTATGTTTGATACCCAATAACGACAAAACGGCTGGAGGGACCGGAGGGACAGAGGTAAATTTGGGTCTGTGTTAACACATGAGCTACTTTAGTCACGCGGGAAAACGGACGAGGCCGCTGACAGAAGCTATTTCACCATCATCATCATAACATTACACCTTTTATCCCCGAAGGGTAGGCAGAGGTGCACATTATGCCATTGTACAATGTAACACCCACTTTTCACTATTTATGTTATGAGCCCCATGTAATAGGGGGTGAGTCTATTGCCATATACCGGGCTCAATTCCAGACTTCGTGCTACTACTGAGAATTAAAAAAACAACTCAGTAATACTTTGCCCGACCCGGGAATCGAACCCGAGACCCCTTGCCCGGCAGTCGCAATTGCGATCACTCGGCCAACGAGGCAGAAGCTACTTGTATCTTATTTATCATAACATCACGCCTTTTATCCCCGAAAGGGTAGGCAGAGGTGCACATTACGGCATTTAATGCCACTTAACCCACTTTTCACTATTTATGTTATGAGTCCCATGTAATAGGGGGTGAGCCTATTGCCATTATACCGGGCACAGTTCCAGACTCCGTGCTACCACTGAGAAAACCCAGTAATACTTTGCCCGACCCGGGAATCGAACCCGAGACCCCTTGCCCGGCAGTCGCACTTGCGACCACTCGGCCAATGAGGCAGGCTTATTTATCAGATTAAAAAAATAACTGGCAAAAGTAGATGTTTGGTACGTAGCGTGCTTCTCTGCCTACCCCATTGTTTATATGATTTTATATAATCAAGTAAGGTGGTACGTACATTTTCGCTGTCTTCTTTTTCATTGACACAAACATGTAGATCAAAATTTTCCTTATCAAGGTATGCTTTCTTGCATAATCCACAACGCAAAACTTTTGTATCTACAATAAAAAATATAATACATTGTAAAGATATATCAATTACTTTAATATCATCGTCGTCATCATCAACAGCCTATAAATACCCACTAATGAGCAAAGACAACACGTTAAACGCCATGGGGGTCACCATGGTGACCGGCGTTAGCGGAGGATTTGCCTTCAACAGTTTTTTATTGGCAGTCAGTCTTAATTAATTATAGTGACTGATTAATAAGTTTGAATTACATGGATTTTTCTTCAACTTTTTGAGCAACTCCTGTCTCTTATTATGTTTTGAGCAAATTAAGTACATACATTACTACTAGAAATCGCTCAATGGTCGAAATTTGAGAGTCATTTCTATGGCCAACTTTAAGATCACTAGGGCACACAATTGTCATGTGTAAACCTGCTAAGCAGTCCAACAAACACCCAGGTCTTCAATTCCAAACTGTTTCTTCGCTGAACCACACATACATAAAAAAAGACCAAACCAGGATAAAACGGTAAAATATCCCACATAATATACAACGATATTTATAAGTCAATGGAAGACCTGATGATGCAAATTGACTATTTTATGCTTTGTTTCATTTTACTAAAACAGATACCCTGGTATGAACTGAGACTTGACTTGTATACTTACCATATCGCAACCACGTGGGTGCGTTGTATCTATACACACTTAACTTATTGAACATTGCTTGCGTTAATACATTTATTAAACTACTAACCTTTATGAGATATTACGTGAGATCCTAATTCTTCTTTGGTTTCGAAATGCTCTTTACAAAATGCACATTCTATTTTTTTCGCAGGCATAGATGTTATACAAAATCCGTTTTCAGATAATTTGTTAAGAATTGTCTGAAATACAATAACAATAAAAATACATTGACTACATATTGTAAGAGGACATAATATATACTATGTTAGTGGCAGTCTAAATAATTATTAAAACGTTCAGGTAATGTATGACGTACACTGCCTTCATAAGTTGATCAGGACCTGGTTCAGTCTTTTTGTTTTCAAACCAGAACTTTAATTTTACATAGGGCTTGTACCTGACCTGCAATGCGATGCGAATTCGCAACGCAGAAAATTACGATGTGAATAGCTGCGATGCGATTTCGTGCGATAAGGCGGCTCCCAGGGTGAACATTCCTCGACGACTGTTAACTGTACTAAACATATTTTAAATTGAATACTACGTCGTGACATGGATCGTAAAAATAAGTGTGTACTTCTATTATTGCTTAGGAGATACATGAAAAAGAAACAAAGAAGATTGTGGGAAGATAACATTTTAATGCGCGATACGAATAAATTCGCAAGTTCATGCGATGCATAGAGGGAGCTCGCACATTTTTGCGATGCGACATCGCATCACAGTGTTTTCTACGAGCCCATAGACCAGTCTAAAAAAAAATATATATAATCTCTAGGAGATAGATATGCTTTACCTACATACTTCATACATTGCCTAAACACCAAATCTACCGGTAACATAACCAATATAACATACCAAAGACACTTAACCATGCTAGTAAGTTGCAACAATAAAAACATATCGACACCTTAAACGACGGCATAATTAAAGCAGGTATTCTAAGTGAATCTTTGTATGCTTACAAAATCATATCATATAACTTGTACAGACTGATTTAGCAGTGAAAGACTATTTGGCAACAAAGAATTCCAAAATTATAGGTAAACCCGGTTTCACTAGAAGCTAGAAGAAACTTACACTTGTTAATACCTTCTTTGGTCTGCCTCTCTTTTTTGGTCCCATCAGATCAGCATGACTTTCCCACATGTGTTTAGTTAAGTTCCCAGCACCATTATAACATGTACCGCAGAGAGGACAGTAAGTCCGATTAGTCTCATCACACTCCACTAAAATAACAGAATATTAGTTAAAAATAATTAATTTTAATAAGTTCGACATTTTGTAAACTCGTCAAAAATAAGTAGGTAGGTATAACACACCATGATGGTGGGTAATTGCAATCAGGGGCGTAGCTAGCGCCGTATCTGCCGTGTCAAATATAAGGGGCCCGCGAACTACTGGGGCCTCCGACGTGCGTAAGCAAAAATTAATAAAATTTGGGAAGATTTTTTATATTTTATTTCAGTAATCGCCTAAAGTCAAATTAAACGATTTGTTTCTGGCTCTAGCATGCGATCTAGCATAATCATAGTCCGATAATTTGGGCAGAGGGACTCCCTGAGGGAGTTGTCTGGACAGTTTTCTGGTTTTCACACAAATTATTAGTAGTTAGTTACCTATTTTATGCAAATATATTTTATCTCTTCTGAGAAATCTACTCTTCATTAGGGCCCCTAAACAAATTTTTATACAGGGCCCTGCCAAAGCACGCTACGCCACTGATTGCAATTATTTTTTTTAGTAAGTACAGTGTTTTAGTATAGTAACTTAAATTACTAAAATATACAAAAGAAAATACTCACCTTTAATACAGATCTTTTCATGTTCCTTTAATTTGTCAGGTGAGTCGAAATCAGCCAGACAACTTTTGCAAATGAAGCGTAATTTTAAATCAGGAACTTCAATTTCTGTTTTAACAGTATCTGAAAAAGTAAAGGTGCAACTTAGAAAAATATTTCTTAATCAAATTCAATGAAAATATGTAGAACTAAAACCAAATAAAACTTATTACTATCCATATTCATAGGAATTAAATACATTTCTTATTTTATTTACTAAGTGTAAAAACACAAAAAATATCAATGGTTATTTTTTTTTGATTTGTATTTAATCATGCAATTTCCAACAACAATAAACTAATTAATTTAAATTGATGCAGTAATTTTCAAGTTATGGTACTTATGGTGTGAACCTAAACTCAACTAAAAAATGAAATTAAAACTGGACATAATCCTATCTCAATAAGGTAGAATAACTTAAAAGCAACCGATTTGACCACAAATATGTCTAACTGAAGGTTAATGGTTTCTGAGATGTTGTGAATTATCGTTCTCTTCTATAAATGTCATATTATGCTCCTATGTGGTACTATAAAAATAAGACACATTATATGAAACTGTTAACTTACTGTCAGACATACCAATGGCATTTAACATATCTTTACGAGAATATGTCGAATTTCCAGTCAGCCTGTATAATATAAAAAGTTGTATAATACAAGTGCTAAAATAGCTAGTCTACAACAAAACCGCACCTAGCTCACATAAATCCGGACCACTATCAAGAGTGTTGTAATTATTGTCATCAAAGTCATCATCCTCATGTAATGATAATTCTTCGGTTTTCACCCCTGACATATCATTCTGTAAGCAAAACATAGTGTTTATTACAAAAAGTGTTAATGAGCTGAGCTAGCTAGCTGCCTAAGGATAAACATAACTTAGTTTAACTTGTTACTTTATCATAACTTCCCCAGTTCCAAAGTAGGAATGGTAACTAGAAATATCAATAAATTTAATTTTGCATTTCTAATTGTGTTGGTCAAGTAGAAAATTTTAACAAAACATACTTACATGGTTTATTCTTTTGGTTGCTGTGTAAGTTTCTTTCTTTTCTTTCTTAATAAATCCTCTGAGAGACAAATTAGCCTCTTCAGACTTTTTCTTAAAATCAAATGCAATTGTAGCCTTTTCTTTGCACTGACAGCATATTGTTGAAGGTAAGCCATCATTTCTGCTTATCTAGTTGTTGAAAATAAATGAACTATTATAATAAAAAATAACTCACCAAGACTGAGGTTACAATGTACTAATTATATTACATTACACAAGCATAATGCTTTGCCACATACAATATCAGTTTTTATATGTTTCCATTAATCTGTTCAGTGTATTTAATATGATCATTGCAAATATGTATAACATAGATGATAACTCCATAGAATTTCAAATCCTATATTTCAAATATATCATTTGAGGGTTGGGTTTTACATAGGTATTAGGAAGTAGCGCAAGCCAATCTCAAGAAGAAGATACATTTATAATTATTATAAATAATTATTCGCTTGCAAATGCAACAACAATCTTTGAGGTATATAAAAATCTGTACAACTATTAATCACTTCATATAAATACCCAAAATATGTTCACACAATAGTAGTCTCTAAACATTGGAAATAAGGTGTAACGGAGAGTGATCATCAGTGACCAATTGAGGATTGATCAATTAATGAATAATAATTTATTAATTAAGTTTGTAATAATTCGTCAGCAGTGGCATTATAGTACATGTAATACTTAATTTACGCTAGCACATGAAATAGGCTCATCGCAGCAATTTTGGCTTATTATCAATGTATTGAGGTGGCCAGGCTAAGTACTAATTTTAATACTAGTCAATATGCATTCAGGTCTCCCCATAGTTAAGAAAACATTATGATGCTTGCCTCAATATCAATGTGATAAGTGCAACCGTTAGTAGGTTACATTTAGTTACTTATGAGTAAAACATTAACCATGTTCCTAGAAAAAGGTAAGCAGATAGATGGTGTCCTGATTACAGCTTGGCAAAAGAGTTTGTATATGAATAGTATTGTACCTGTAGCAACCTCGTACACTACAACTCAACCGGTTTTGATATTTGTTAACTATATCGAGTTTAAAAAGAGGAGATACTATGTTCGGCTGGTTGTTTAGTAATGGGATATGGACCAAAGTGGGTGATTCTGTCCAAATCAATATCCCAGCTGTCACTGCATCATATTTCTTTGCCAAGCTGTACAGTGTACTCTTCTACTATCAGTATATAAAGGAGAATAAAGATGGGATTACCATATCCACGCAAAAGTAAATAGAAGACCTACATTAGTTTGTTTGTCATTACAGTACCTTTATCAATACCTTTCTCTGGGGGTATGTACGCGATACTATATGAATATAAATTGCACGGGCATATGTAAATTATCGATTTATCTGCAATTTGCATTTGCAGTGACCGTTTTAAGAGTCAAATTTACCTTAAGTCCAGTTGTTGTTGTAACTATGTAATCTAAAGTTGTAGTCGTTCCAGTAAGTTCATCAAATATCGACAATAATGGATTATCTTTAGACAAACATGTTCTACACAATTCTTCTTGTTTTATTTCTGTTCTATGATTATTAAAAGAAGCCATTTTCAAGGAACTACAAACACTATAACAATAAATAGAGGCATCGAGCGATTGCGAATTTACTGTAGTCCAAAGAGAAAATAGAAAAGTAAACTAATGTTCTGACTTCTGACCACAGAATACAAATACTCTATTATGTGTTCGAGTTACTGTTATTGGTGATTATTACATCTGTGGTTCGAGTGGACTATTATCCTAACATGCAGTATCATGCCTTTACCATGCGTCATGGTAAAGCATTTATCATGCGGACACCTAAACCAATGCCATTAAGAAAAAACTGCGAGGAATAGAAATCTATATATTTTCATAAGTAGTCATACATACTATACCTAATCCTAATATTCAGCTTTTTGCCCGTATCTTCAGAATAAAAATACCCCTTCTTTTATTACAAACAGTAATCTGTCTCAATTCCAAGGACGTTGAGTCTATCTCTGTACCTTTCATCCAAATCCCCCCAGTAGTATTTCGTGTAAGCTTAACAACAATCATGTATCTATCCATACATCCTCATGCTCACGGATGGGGCCCAATAGGGATGATACCGATATGGAGCCGCAGAACGGGTGGTATCCGGGGCTCCGGCTCGAAGTGCAGGAGTAGGAACGGAGTAATTTTTAGTCAGTAAAAGTCCAACAACAACAGTCCTGCTCTTGCCTCACCCAGACGCGAGAAGTCTTTCGATGATTTTCCCCCCATAAAAAAATCCATTCATCTTCACAAACGCCTCAGCCCATCTCATCCAGGACAGGGCAGAAGGAGTCATTGATGATTTTCGCATATCAAATCTTGTATCAAATGTTAATTAAACGTTGTAGCATTAGCGTTGTGGCCTAATGGCCACCGGGGCGGCCTTATTTGTCTATGGACCTAAGGGATTTGGATAAGGATCATACAGTGGATCATACGGACGGATGACATTTGTCGAAATGACATTATTGACAAATTGTCAAATGATAATATCGTGAAAGCGAATCCGCCCGCCAGAAATATTTTTATAGGTAGGTAACTTTATTACAGTGATGAACCGTCTGTGTTATAGAAGTGTTGTCGTTATCTTTCAATAAATAAATATTTTTTAATTTATATACGATACATAATTTTGTAATCTCATAAGCATTCAATTGTCGCATCAGTGCATAATTAATATTTTTATCGTTTTGCTGCTGTATCGATAAGTTACAACCATGTAAGTAGTAAATATGAAGAAATATTATGTATTAGAATAAAATATTATTGATTTGTTTGAACATTGAGTGAAAGCTTGTGATATTTATACTTAATTGATTTCTGTGTAATCAATATTATAATCATCTTCCTATTAACTTACAGTAAATATTTTTGTAAATAATTTCATTGCTTATTATTATGAATGCATCGCGAAATATACGTAATCTTATTTTACTGTTGTGCTAAAAATATTTTACTTTTACCCTCTGACAAATTGCTGTTCCAAATTATCGTGCCCTACTGCGAAATATAAAATAATTTGCCTGATTGAATGCAATTTAGGTAGTTCGAATATTCATCCACATTATTCCATCGCAAAGTGAAACATCCATCGAGGATTCTATATCTTAGATTTTATACCTTGTAATAAAGATTTACCATAAAAGATATCTTTTGATTTTGACTTGCTAGCTTCCTAAGTCTTGAACACTAGGCAATACTAGACATCACCCACTTGTACTCCTGTACAACAGTTATTATGTCATAGTAAATAATTTAAAAGATATTAGAATGGAAGGAATACCTTAAAATTATTCATTGAATGTTTTTAGTACCATAATAGTTGTGAATAAAAAACAATTCACAAAAACACAGAAACTATAATATTCTAACTTAGCATGATGTCTCCAACAACAACTCATAATAAAGATTGAAATGAAATCATCTACAAATCAGTACTTTCACACATCAATATGAATTATCATGAATGCTAAGAAGATGCATGGTAAATATGAGTTTATGTCGGTTGTGAGTTATATTTATTAGGACCAAGAGTTAACACAACTCATGCAACAATTTTATCTAATGGGGATCTTAAATATAACTGTATAATTAGCTATTTATCTATATAAATAAAAAATAAATTTCCGTTTGTCAGTCTCGCTAAAACTTGAAAATGGTTGAACCAATTTGGCTAATGTTTGTCTTAAAATATTCATGGAAGTCCAGGAAAGGTTTAAAAGGTGGGAAAAAGAAATTAAGCAGTATGCATTGTGCCGGATCAGCCGTCAGCTAGTAACAACTATTTATAATTAATTTCTTAAGATGTCGTTATAACGTAACATGAGCCAAAAACATTCACTTATAGGCTTCTAATATAGATAATATCTGTGGTAATTTCATGGCTAAACTTTAATGCAAATAAATACTAATTTCATTGTTAGTTTTTTTAGTAAAATAATCACAAAATATCTATTAATACCTGTTGCATTAGTCGATTTTAATGAAGTTGGTAAGAACCACCAAAAGGTATGTGGTAAAGGTGGTTGATAAATTTTACATCTAAAAGCATTTAAAAAACAAAAATATCATTTAGAAATGTTTTAATGCCCTTTCTCTGGAACTCAATACAATAATATCTATCATCAACTACAAATAAGCTTCTAGGATGTGTACAGCTCACTGTATTTTCTATGATATATGTACATATACATCTGCATCTCTCTGGTCGTATCTCATGACTGAGGATCTTGAGCATCCTGACATCACTCTGGATCAGACCAAATATCTCAGCACATCTAAAACGAATTTATTCTATGTCTCTCCCTCAAAAGGTTCTATGTGTCCACCCCATATATGTAGAAGTACTGGGAAAATAAGCAATCTGTAAAGGCGTATCTTGGTGTTATTTGTGTTGCCTCAATTTCTCCACATATTCCCCCGCTAAGAAAAGGCGTCCCTAGCAATAACTATCATGCGGTTGATTCTGGGGGCGCAGTTTCCGCCATTGCAGATGAGAGATCTGACACCCCAAGTAGTGGAATTGTTCTACCACTTCTGTAAATATTTGGAATGTTTCTTAGAAAGCTTGCCCGTTCTGTCCATTATCATTAGTTTCATTATAGTTTTGTGGATAAGGAGACTTATGGCCATACTTTCAGATTCATTATTTGCAAAAGTATATGCATTTCATCTACAGATGTTGCCAAGCGAGTCACAGGGTGTACTTTTTCGAGGAAAACACATAAGTCCTTGTCATTTAAAAATTATTTGACTTATTTCTTTTTCCCTTATAACTATTAGAACCTTGCCGATGACCCCTAGTGTCATTTGGATGATTTCAGGGACACCTGTATAATTATACATACCTACATATGTACATCCCCTATACTTATTATACTCTTTGCTACATACCCTCAAATATTGCCATCAGTATATCAGTAGGCAGAGACAATGGAATGAAAATTGAGATGAAGCTTGCATATAGCTTTCGATTTAATAATCTCTTAATGCAGGCCATTCAATTGAGGATACCTCCTTATGAAACAGGCATAGAAGCCTATATGCGTATTAGTAAACCTTAACTTTTTCTAATAAAAATTGAAGTGTTTAAATGGCCATAAAAACTACTTGCCTTAAATTTTTATAATGAGCAGAAATTCTATGCATACATAAGTAACTTTTAAAGTATGCTTACATAAGGTCAGACAGTGGAAATCTACTTAATTTTAAACAAACTTTATAGTGATGTAGTCTACACTAAAATTATGTACACAATTGTTCTCTTTATTTAATTTCTTCAGGTTCCTAAGATATCGCTATTGTTATAAAATTTAAGAACACAAAGTTTTACGTGATATGCACACGAATGCTACTTTATCCACGAGTCGTCCGATAAAATCTATAAAACCCTAAAAAGAGGTTTCGCACACTCTAATCTAATCCTAAAACATTACTTAAATTGCATTTCTTGGTATAATATAATTATCACGTAGAAATTCACTTATTCAACTTTGAATATAGCGATATCTTGAGAACAATGGATATTAAGAAAAAAATATAAAATCTTTCGCATGACGTTTCTATTAGTGTACCAACTACCAAGCAAAGGTTTATAAAAATTCAGCTCTGTAGGACTTAAAACTGTAACTCAAAACAATAATGTTTTATCTATTTTGACTGGGCTAATTATGTACCTAGGTATTGACAAGTATTAATTTAGGACAGAACCGTCGCGTCGCTTCGGTGCTAATGATGGTTTTGTATTATAAAACAACCTCCCATCTCAACCATGTTACTCATAACAGGCCTTGCTTACTGAGACGGTAAAGAGTGAAAGTGAGGTAGACACCCGTTGCTGACAACTTTCACTAGAAGTTTGAAATACACATATATGTATAAACATATTCGTGGGCAACACTTGGACGTATTAATGTTTTCGCATTTGTTTACTAAAATTCAGTACTTTTTTGCTCAGTCTTTGCCTTATAACGGCCGTTCCCAATATTCTATCTATCCCTTGTTTTGCCCTACTGGAGATAGAAAAATCTATCTATCTTTAAATTTGCCGTCTCAATAAACTTACTGGCGATAGGCAAACTAATCTATGGTTGTCATTACCTGTGGGAGGACGGATAGGTTATCTACAGATTGCTTTTACTATGAAATTGACAGTTCACGCGTCCCAATAATAACAAAGGTGCTATCTGTCAGTAGCTTTGGTTATCCCTAGTAGGCTATAGCTCTATCGCAGGATTTTGATGGATAGGAGTATAGTTATCAGTGAAGATCAGTAACATATCTTTTCTATTTCTTAAAAATACATATAGGAGTATAGTTATCAGTGAAGATCAGTAACATATCTTTTCTATTTCTTAAAAATACATCAGATTTAAACAAAAAATCATGTCGGTCTCCAGTTCAAGTAGTAGTTCGTGCTATTGATATTTTGGAACAAATAAGGAACTGGGGATCTGACGAGGACGATGTGCTCACCACACCACAACACGATCATATCAAGGGCGTGTAAATTACATGTATTGATATGACGATTACGAGTTTGTGTATAGATTTAGGCTAAGAAGACTAAATTTGAGAAATTTATAATTGTATCAACATAGATAGGTCAGTTATTCTTACCTACATATTTATTTTAATTATTATGTGTTGCAAAATTACACAGTGTAAAAAAAAGATGGTTTAGAATAAACTGTTTTAATTTATTTATTTATTTATTTATTCATATTGCACAATGTACATGTAATATGAAGTATTACATACAACTAATTAAGTACATTACCCTGTTAGGGCGCAGCAATTTAAAACGTTACAAATTTAGTATCAGCCGAAATTTATAACTATTACTTAGAGCTATAACTATACCTATATATTATTAACTATTCTATAGTTTTCTCCTAATCTTTATGTCACCCCGTGACTTACAATGAATATATCTAAAATCTAAATATACTATCACTCTATAATTGGTTACATTAATATTAAAAACTAGTAATAAATAAAATTCTTGGATGAAATCAAATAACAAAACTTAACCGAATAGTGAGTGAAAACATAACAAAATTAGACTGTAAAACATAGGAACATATGTAACCTTATCACATTCACATGAGCTACAATAAAATGCAATAAATATTATATAGATAATTATTACAAGCTTAGAGTAAATACATTATTAAAATACATGAATTATTATTGGGTTGTTTCTCCTTCTCCAGTATATCTAGCTAGAGTTTCCGTTTCTTTAATGCATGTATTTCATCGTCGTGTTTTATTTTTGACTTGGAAGTATTATTCTGCGATTGCCTGATTTCAATCTGTAATTGACTCATTTCATCTGCATCAGCTCGTCTTTTCTGTTTTCCTAGAAAAATATTATTCAGTGTATTATTCCATTTTGGTCCTCACTACAACCACCATATAAAAGTTTTGTAACCAAACAGTATTGAAAAGTAATTAGTCATAACCAATACCAAACCCCAAAAATGAAATACACAAGAAACTATCTGTGTTACCTAATCCTCGCATCTTTGAGCTGATTATTGCTTGCATTTGTGGCTTTGCTGAACATCAATGGATTTGCCTCCACCAATTGTACCAGCTGCATTACTTCTTCTTTCGTCAATAGCATATTCTTTTGCTGCAATGAGTGCACCAAACACGAGTTATTAGTCGCATGTATGTTCATGTAATCAAGAACTTTAAAACTTCAATAGCTTCAATCTAAAGCTACAAAAGCACAAACTGTAGAGGTAATACTTACTGAGGTCATTTTTATAACAAACAATTCTTTGTTATATTATCACAATTTATTGTAAACAAAATCAACAAACAACAATGTCAAATGTCAATCTTTTAACAAATACGTTCCGTTACAAGTCGCGCACTATTCCAGTCGCAAACATGAAGTTTTCGTTATATTAAACTTAAAAAAATATTGTATAATATAAAATTAGTGCAAAATATAAGGTTTCGTTAATTAATTCAAAATGTTTGTGATATAAACATGACAAGATGCTTTAAAAACATTATTGTAACTTAGTGGCACTCTGTGGAGCTCTGCATATAATGAAACACACGGGAGGGCTCAGATAGGCACCCTATCTACTGTTAACTAGAGATAGCAAAGACACATTTTAGTTATTGGGACGACATCGAAAGATAGATAGATTTTAACTGACTATCGAGGATAGCTATCTATCTTTACCTATGGATTGAATATTGGGAACGGCCGTTAGTGCATGTTTACGTGCCGGGACCCGGGAACAATTAATACGAAATAATTAATAGTGTACCTACTTAGAAAACAGTGAATTTTGTTGTTTGAATTTGTGAGAATATGGTGAGGTATTTTTTATTTAAGTGCGTATAGAGTTCGGTCGTTTGGGCGGAAGTACGGGGGTGGCCTGGAAAGTTTGGCAGAAGTATTGTAAATTGGCAATTTTGTATATTTTGATTTGCTAATTTCCATTTTGCATTCTCATACTTGCGGCGTTCGCGCTTAGAAAAATGGCAGTCAAATAACAGTTTTCATCTCTTTCCCTGTGCATTTTACGAGAAATGTGTTAAGAAAATAAAACTGTTATTGCCCACTGTTTTTAAACGATGGCGGCGCGAGTGGAGCACTTACGAGGTTGCAAAATGGAAATAGTATTAGTTGGGTACATCAAAATCTACAAAAATTTCAATTAATTTACTTTATTTACTGTACAAATAATTTTTCTTAGCTTCTGGAGATGACTCTGCGACAAGAGTCTCCGCCACCGCTGGCATCGCCTCTGCTACACGATGCAGTCCACGGGGACAGTTCGCCGCCCCTTGCTGATGAACATTTTGAAGTTAGTGTTACCCTATTCACTATTTTTTTTTATAATTTGTAACTGTAAAAATATGCAGTAGATATAACATATCACGAAGTATTATTACATATTACACAATTAAATTGAAACCTCATGGTCGAGTGACCAACTACATTGTTTGGACGCTGTCTGCTGTGTGATGAACTGTTTAAATTAAAACTGAACATTAAAATATCTAAATTATTTTAATTTTTTTTATAGTCATATTTTAAAACTTTTAACTGTTTCAGGATGAATTCGAAGACGCAACAGACGAATTACCAGAAAAGTACGTAAATTTTTTTATTGGCTGTAAATGCTACAGTCATTACAAAAATCGTGTAATATTATATAACTATGATATTACACGATTCTAAACGACTTATTATTGTTGCAGCACTACCCCTGACTTGCACACAGCTTTCAATGACTGTGAGGTGGCAATACGCAAATTCTTTAATAACGACTTGACTGGTGCCATGACCATTATGAAGCCATGGTGAGTGAATGACACACACACACGCACATACATACATATAATAGCTTCTGCCTTCAATTAAGAGAAACAGACATAATTAATAGAACACCAAAAAGCACGATTCTGGCGTACTTACGCTACATCTGTAACCATTTTACGCATGCTCCTCAATTGATAGTTGGAGGGTACTAAGGTACTTGGTGAGACAAGTTACATTGGATTACATTATCAACCTACGAATAGTACGAAACCTATCAATAGTATCAACCTGTGAAAGTAATCAAAAAGTAATTGTCATACATACTTAATTATTTTGTTGCGATAATCACAATTAGTTTTTTGCTGAATCTAATCGGACGGTCTGCCATATTAGTACCCATTTACTAATTTCACGAGACACAAGTATTTAACCCTTTCCTATATAGATGACTTGTACAAACAAGTGAAAACACCAGTGTTTGTTTTTGTTCAGGCAACGCACCTCTGTGTACCATAGCCTTGGTGCCGCTATATTCGAGTTTATTCCTGCTATGCTGACATTCGACTCAACGCAGATCAACAACGCCTTAGCTGCACTCAAAATAGCGATTGCTATCTGCCACGAGCAAAGGAAAAACTACACCTTTGTAGAAAGCATCGGCACCATAATTAAAAAGGTAGGTTTAGGTGTTATTATTACTACACCCCCTTCATATGATGTCGTGGGGGTACTATAAGTTAAATGCATTACTTGTCCTTTAATAAAGTCAATATCTTTGCTACGAACTTAGCTATAAATATAACAAGCAGGCCAATCTTATAAATATGATTTTATAATAATATTAATCACAACGACCATGTTCTAATAACAATGAGAGTTATATCGATAAAGACATTTCGTATACTTTCATATAATTACCAAATTCGTTGTTCTACCGATTTTCCCATTTCTTTTATTCAAGCTAATTGTATGTCGAAACCTTAACCTGTATGCCCTGGTCCATACCTCACCTCATAATACAATTAACGGTAATACTTACACTAACTAATGAGATTAGGGATTTTTACGTAATGTTACAAAAATTATTGGTGATTTAATTGAATAGTTGATGTTATAATGTGTTCGTATGGAACTTGTTTAGTTTAATATATCTAAGTACTAGGAACGTAAACATGGATGTAATAAACTAATAACCATTGATTGAAGTTTACTAATTAATAGATGCTCTATGTAAAGAAATAGACGTTTATGTCAATAACCTGCTATAAAGGAAGCATGATTGATTATAGAATGTACACCGCGTTCTTTTGCAGCCTAATTACGCAACATACACCGACATGGAAGCTCACGCTGAACTATGTTACGCAGAAACATTAATGCTTCAGGCAGCCATGACTATAATGGAAGGCGAAGATCTTACTGGATTTATCAAAGGAACCATCAAGATCAAAAACTGTTACAACAGCTATCGGTAATTTTCTTAGATTCAAAAGCTCGCATATAATATCGATCGTAACTTATGTACGCATTTCGTGCGCTACAGGGAATGCTCTAAGATATTGGAAAAGAAGCAATGGGAGACGGAGGAATCCAAGATCCAGTTCCAAAGTGGTGTGCGGCTGGGAGTCGCTACGTTTAACGTGATGATCTCTTTGCTGCCACCAAAAATAATAAGCGTGTTAGAGTTCGTGGGCTTCTCTGGGAATAAGGTGAGAAATTTTAAGTCACTATGGGCTGTATGTGCTTCTCTAGTGATAAAACGTGATTTAAGTCAACTTTTATTGGTTGATTTTAAATATTAGTCACGTGCTGTAAAATCGTGCCTAAAATGTTTCACTATATGTAGGTAGGTAATATATTATATCTAACATTGATGTCCTTGTAAATCTCAGCGTTTTTTAACGACATTCTATTCTGATTTGAATACAAGTTCAGTGCAAAGCAATATCTGAGTGCGAAAAGATAAAGGATTTTGCATTATAAATTAAATTGCAGATCCAAACAAGTGGTCATTTGTATACAACCTTGTTGTATATTTCTAAATTATGTATATTGTTTTGTTTTAGTGATACCTTTCACTGTGATTATTCTGATCTATAAATATCTACAGAGATTCATTTTAATTTATTTTTGTCGACTTTTAAACTATGAGTACCTTGAGGTTATCATCCTATTGATTCCTCAGTATCATATAACAGGTGGTAGATGAATGTAAATCACTTTATATTCTATTGAAAAAAATCTGATCATAGAACCACATGACAACCAAAAGCACTATATAAATAAAATATCTAATAATTGTGCGCGGTGGTTGGGCAACCGACAGCCCCGCAACGTGTGAACAACTCTTTGTGTGATCCAAAAATTGTTGTTCCGGGTCTGGGTGTCATGTGTATGCGAGATTGTATGGTTGTAAACGCACCATAGATATAAAAAAGTAGGACACAGGAGAAAATCCTAGTGTGGGGCAAAGTTTTTGTAAAAAACGTGCTCGACAGACTCCATACCTACCTGTCAATAATCCATACATAGGTACTTTGTCATACATGTTTTATTATATATCAGTCAATATTATAATTATCTTTATATCGTACATGTAGTATACCTACCTGTACGACTACTTAATTCCGTTCACATTCAACCTTACTTTATAGTTTTAATTGCAACGAGTCACGTATTTTGGCAAATTGAGATGGCTAAGTCGACGCGCGAGATGAGTAACTACTCACCAACTGAAATTCCATTCACAAAATATGTATATTATGTACAATTGTAGGCACAAGCTAATGCGGCTCTACCTTCAAAATATAAAATAATAGTAAAAAAACGTGTACTACATTCTTAATACATAGGTACATACCTATTCAATTCTCAATTAAACAACTGACGTCTTAAATAGCTATTTTTATTTTTGTGAACGAATGTGAGTACCGTGGCGGTTTAAAAAGATGTTAGGCTAAACATGCTGACTTAGAATGTGTCATTAATCATCCTGCTGTATCATTAGGTACCTAGTTTGAGGCTACGTGCAGAATTATGTGATTAGCTGTAATTTGTATGTATTTAGCCTCTGACAGCAAGTAATGGTTTCCTATATGATTATAGGCAATAGGTAGTCAATTATGAATCGGTACTAGCTCGGTTACGTAAGTGCATGTGTTGATGTCTGCCTAAAGACACCGTCTAGGTCTACTTTTGGCTTTAATACTCGGTAACTCCATTGTTTACTGTGGTAGATAAAAAAGCAGGTATAATGACTAAAGTTGCATGACCTTGACAAATAACCTAGCGATGCAGTCAAATTACCAAAAATATTTATAACTAGCGAACTTCGCGCAGCTTTGTTAATATTTTTATTCTATAACCCAATAAAACAACACTTAGCGAAATCGGTTTAGGTGTTCTTGAGATTTGCGCTTAGCAACACATTCAGCGATTCATTTTTATGTTATAGATGACTTCTATCTGAAACTTGAAACTAGATGAATAGATTTTTAAATCTTGTATTTTTGAGTATTTTATTTCTTCTCGTCTGATTTTCAATTAACTAATGTTAAAATTCTTGTTAAATTGTTAAAATAAGAGCTCTCGGTAGAAGTATATACGTTTAAATCTTTAACGAAATATTTTGATTTAATTTGTATAGTTTCGAAACATTACGAAATTGTGCAATTCAACCACGATGTAGCAACATATTGTGCGATTGAATTGAATTTAAGGATACACCAATAATCAGTGTTTTCTGCGGTTCATAAGTTTTTTTATCGTAATTTTCTTGCAGTTTTCAGCATTTCTAGTCCCAGTGTATGCATTCTGGCATTTCATCCTCCACCAAAATAGGTATACGTGTGAAAAATACCGACACATTATTAAAATCTTGCCATATAACATTTAAAACTTGGCATTTGATATAATTAATATTCCGAAACAAACAGGCTCATTGATAAATACACATATTATTAGAACGTAAATAAAATATGCGTGAATAAATTGGTAGGTGAATAAAACAGGATTTTAACGTTACAGAGTGTTGGACTTACTGAGCTCGAGGCGGGCTCGCGCGCCCCGGGAATGCGGTCGGTGTTATGCGACCTGACGCTGCTTGGGTACCACCTCGTGATTTGCCACTTCATTGGCGCCATCGGGGACCTGCCCGTCTGCGAGCGAATACTACACAAACAGTTAAAGGTGACTTCTTACTTCTGACCTAAAATTAAACGTCCTTTTAAACCTGTAACCGAGTATGTATAAAACAAAGTCATATATTTTGTTATTAAATTAAGATCTTAATCCGATTTTTACTTGTCTGTACTTTTTTGGAGGTTTATTTTTTTTTATTTGTTCCCAATTATCGCAAAATGGGTGACATCATGTGTCACTGTACCTTTAATATTTATTTGAAATGGACTATCTGTAATATTTTATTAATCAACAACGTGAAGGCATAGTATTAATTAAAAAAAATAATTTCAGGTCTTCCCGGAGAGCGTTTGGTTCCTCATGTTCAAAGGTCGTATCGAGTTGATACGCGGACAATTCGATACTGCGATTGAGACTTACAATCGCGCTGTTACTAGCCAAAGGGATTGGAGACAATTCCACCACGTGTGCTACTGGGAGATAATGTGGGTGAACAGGTAAGCTACTCAAATTATTACTGTAACCGCGTAATGAATAACCGAATCGGTATCTTAGTGTGTTCAACTCAGGAACACGAATGCCAGCCACCGTTTTTAAGATACAAGTTTATTTTTCGAACTGTTGGTATTAGCGCCTGGTAATGTGTTTATAATTGATTAGTTTGAAGATGGATTGGCGCGAGTCTGCACTGTACGCTACCAGGCTATTAGAAGAGAGCACTTGGTCAAGGACTATATACTCATACTCAAAGGCAGCCATGTTGCTGCAATTAGATGACATCACCGTTGCCGAGAAAAAGCAGTGTTCTGAACTGATGCGGTAAGTAAACCGGACTCGGTTTAGAAATGTTAGAATTTTATCTTAATATTATTTTATGTCATTCACATTTGACTGCGTCGTTAGTAAGGTTATCGCAAAGCTTCAATATTCTTAGATAAATTATTGTTGGGTGTTTGGGCTTTCGGAGATTTGTAGCACAGAGTCTAAAATTGTATAAGGAACAGGTGCGTAATGTCTACCCAAATTATGGGCAGACCTGATAAAAGTCGCAGGGAACCGCTGGATCCAGGTCGTTCGCTCGTTCCAACCGGACTACCTGGAAGTCATTGGGTCAGTCTGATGGGCAGACAAACGGTAGCCTTCATTGGTTGCCAGGTCAGGGTTCATACAAAATTGCCCATCATGATATATAAGTTAGTATTTAGTAAATATTCGTTGGAAACCGATGGTATGAAGTTTTGTATTTATATGCAGGTCCGCGAGTTACTACAAACAACGTATCGCGGGCAAGTCCCTGCCGATGGAGAAGTTCGTAATAAAGCGAGGTGCGCGCTACCAGGCGCAAGGCGGCCGCCTTCTATTGCCCGCCATCGAGCTCCTCTGTCTCTGGAACATGTTCCAAATCCTCGCCAAGAACGAGAGAGATGCACAGAACGTCCTCAAGGTATAACATGTTCATACTTCTGGAAACTTGTAATTCTATCAAATAGGTACATAGAGATAAAACATTTTTAGTTTCCACTTGATAGATAGATATTAGAACTCCTAAAAAATGTAAATCATTGATTTATTTTAAACAAGTTTTCATAATTCTTCTGGCTAATTGAAAAGAAATAAGTTTGATAGTAATTATAAAAAAAACTATACGATCGCAGTTTTTTATTTTTTTAACATGAAATAGACGTTTTTGTATAGGATTCATTTTGGCAGGTAGGAAATATTTGAAGTTATTACAAAATGTAATTGTATTACACAGTTAATAGAGGCTACTATCGAGCGCGTTGAGAACGAGAGTCGCGAGTGGATGGCTGGCTATGAAGCGGACAACCGTGCGTTACTGCGCTTCCTGAAGGGTAGTTGCCTGGCCGCCATGAACCTGCCTCGCTTAGCTCTCGACACCTTCGACGCAGTCTTCCAGTTAGTATACCATTTAATACCCCATGCAGATTATCATTCTTCTTGCCTTACTTAACTTACCGCCGCACTCAGAGTTATTTAATAACTACTTAACCAGTCCTTAGCAATTGTTTTCGGTACAAAATCGTTACTAAGGAATAGTTTAAGTAATCATTGAATGTTTCTGAATATCGCAGATAGTTTGATTTTAAACTACAATATCCAACTTGCTTCCCAAGCGTGGAGATTACGACAAATCCGTCTTTTAAAAACGAAGCCAGTAGTCAACAGACTCATCATCGTGATCATAAAAAAGTTATCAAGCTAATTTTTATAAACTGTACCAGCTACGTCATTGCAGGTATGATCAAGATGACAACACGGTTAGTACGGTTGCTGGGCAACTGGCTGCCATGCAACGTGTCGCGGGTTCGATTCCCGCACGGAGCAACCCTTTGTGTGATCCACAAATTGTTGTTCCGGGTCTGGGTGCCATGTGTATGTGAACTTGTATGTTTGTAAACGCACCCACGACACAGGGGAGAAAATCCTAGTCTTGGGCAACAATTCCCTAAAAAAAAAATAAGTATAGTCAATACATTCATGATTCTATTAGCCTCCTTCCTCCATCCTGACTTTCTTCCTATTCCTATATCCTCCTTCTATTTTCCTACTAGACGGCTACTGTGGCAGTAGGTTTTTCTTCTGTTACGTAATACATTATTAATTTAGTTGTATTTTATTACTACAGCTTCAAGAATGACCTAAAAGAAGATACATTCTTGCTCCCTTACACGTTGTCCGAGATGGCGATGTGTCACTACCAGCTTGGAGATAGAGACCGCGCCCTACAAATGTTACAGGAAACCAGGTTTGTTATTATTCACGCCTTTTATCCCCGAAGAGGTAGGTAGAGGTGTACAATGTAACACACACTTTTCACTGTTTTATGTTATGAGCCCCATGTAATAGGGGGTAAGCTTATTGCCATATACTGGGCACAGTTCCAAATTCTGTGCTACCACTGACATTTTTTTTATTCACTTTCAATTTTGTTTTTCTCCTTCAACTATATTCGTCACAAAATAAGTCCGTCAGTCCCCTGTAAATGACAATGTCGAATTTATGATATTCATTAGGTCTCTCTATCTCTATTTACTCTATTTTATTTATACACTTTCATAAAGAACATCATTTATAAGCATTACATTTTTCTTTCTATTATAGAAATGAATTAAAATACATACTGGTCACTGGATTGGTATAATATTACTACTATTGGTATAACATTATTTGTTTACTTGCAGAAAGAAGTACTCGGGGTATTCGTTAGAGTCTCGCCTACATTTCCGTCTGCATTCGAAACTAGATTATATAAAGAATGGCAGCCATGGAGCAAGTACGAGCCGGAGTGGAAGTTCTTCCTAAATCACCCAGGATGGGATCTCTCATATATTCTTGTAGCATAACTACTGCTTTCTCATAAAATCACATGAATCTCTTGCATCCGTCTACCACTTCTTATTTACCAACATTCTGCTTGCATATACAAATAAATGTTATATGCAATATAATCCATTTAATATTTATTAAATAATTTATATCATACAATGCATTTGCGTACTAAATCTGCATATGCAAAGAAATCTATTGTTTTTGTATAAATTGTAAATTATTTTCTCATTTATGGTAGTTACTTTGTCTTCTCGACGTATATTGATAATTATGTTTATTTATTAAGTATACATTTTAAGGACAAACCGGTCGAATTATACCCTATACAATATAGTAGAAAGCATTTAGATAGTAGTCAATTACTTCCATAAGTCTAGTCTCAAAGTACAAGCTTAAATAACAATTGTATGGAAACTTTTTGCATATCAAGGACAAAACCCAATAATGGCTGCAGTGAGAAAAATCTCATTTATTGATTAAGTTAATTAATCACCTTGTGATAAAAACGGATCTGATTTTTTTACTATGATGTAACTTTTTAGTCGATTAAAATTTTTATATTTATAAATTAACAAAATCTCTAAGAGTAAAAATTAAATCGAAGGTGTACCAAGAATTAATGACTTCTCTTTAGTAATCAATTACACCTGTATAAATGAATCTTATTCACATTTTTAAAATGTCGTAAAATTGCAAGATAATTATTTTATGTCATAGTGTAGTGGTGCAATTTAATTGGCCACACGAAGACAATCTGAATAGTCATTCATTTTTGTATAATATAGTAGTAGGTTTACAAAAATCTTATATTTGTATTTTATTGTTTTATTATTATTTTTTGTTATTATTTATTGACTGCATCGTTGGTCGCGTTTACACGCCTCGATCGGTGAAGAATTTTTATATTGAGTAGTAAAATATTCCATTACTTACTTTGTAATTATACGTAACTGGCATAAGCGATTGTATTGTATTTGCGTCTTTATAACAATCATGTTGTGTAATCGTTGGCAGCTAGCTAATTTGGGTAGGTAATAGTGTTAAAATAGAAGCAACTAAGTATCCTTTTTATTTTTCTCAAAGTATCTTCTTGTCTCCAAAGATTTCTTCTCATGTCACAACTCCAAATAAAATTAGCTCTCTATTACATATGTAGTGATAATTATTTTGAATAGTACAAAGGTGTATGTTTAACACTTTGAATCGTTAATCTCGTGATAATCTCGACCTCTTCACATGGAAGATCCCGAACAATATGTTATTATTTGACATCAGTCTGGGTTTAGATAAAAAGTACAATGAGAATGAGATGCTTACAATTTACATATATTAAAGCTAAATATTTTCTGAAATTATTTGGTGTAGCTAAGCAACGTTGTTCTTACCTTCATGTGCACAATTCATGTCTCAGATAGTTTTCCATGGTAAAAGTATGTGACAAATAGTGCCCAAACAGCCAGTTTTTAATAAAATTTTGTATGGGCTGTGAACGACATTAATGCAAACTTGTGTATAAATAACCAGGAGATACAATGGAGGTACAAATACTCCTTTATCATGATATGCATCACTGATAGGTATGTCACGTTTAGTTGTGTGCCAGGTCATGCATAAGTCAGGATTGCGTTATGAATATTTTTGCGCTTTATTTTTGTTGTTTATTAATGTTTTTTGTTCAATTAAAGGTGTGATAATATTGAAGAGGTGATAGTAAATAAGTATTACAATTTAATTATGTATTTAAGGTACTTATATATTTTTTATAAAAAGAACTATTAAAATATCTGAAACTCTTGAAGTCTTCGTGCTTCTTGTTACCACGAAATATGAATCTCGTGCTGGTACGGTAAAATATTGACTTGTAGTTCTTGCCTTGTATGATGACAAATTGTAGCAAACACATGCTCAATCTCATGTCTTAATCCACTGTAATAATTATACTGAATGAGTAATCACGCATGTAATCAGTTAGGCATACCTAGCCTGACTATTATATCAACAATTTCATTGTAACTTTATGTATGTAACCAAGGTAGTAATCTAAAAGTTACCATTATTCTAATCTTTATGAGTAATACGTAATATCTTCAGAAACTGTATGGTATGTTTTTATTACTATAAAATACTATTTAACCGACTTCAAAAAGGTCTTTGAACAATCCATGATAACAATAATAGTAATATAAGATTTTCGTTAAATAAATACAAAAATAGTAGTACCTAACTGTAAACTTAATTAGTACAAATCGACACAAATTATTGTTTAGGTCAAAGTGCTTCTAAACAGGCAATATTGTTATGCTACATTTCACTTCAACACAGTGACAATTACACATATACCGTAAATATTAAAAAAAAATAGTACCTATATAGAAGCACATTACAGTATACCATTTTTATCTATTGATGTCTATAAAATTAGATTTCTACATAGTAAGATTATTAATCAACCGCTCTGGAATCGCATAAAAATGCGACCATGATTAAAAATTAATACCGACTTGTATCAATAGATGGCGCTACTGAGTCGAATTTAGATGCCGCGCCAGCAAGATGTCCCATGTGACATTATACTCGTACGTTTATATTATGTATTCGGTAATTATAATTATTCGGAGACCGTAATAACTCTAAAGGTTCCAATATTGGTATTGTATAATCTGTCTTTTTAAAAATATTAATGTCAATAAAGATTTGAAATAATTTGATGTTGTATTATTATTTTTTTACTTTTATTTTTCTTTTTCAAAGGTCTGCATTTCGTAACCAAACCTACCCCCTTGTCCCAAATTTACTTGAGTCCGGAGTAATATGTATTTTTACAATTTTAGGTATAATCATCTTTATTGCATTATCGCATGACTAGCTAGTCCCATGCGATTTTCCCTCTGTTCGACTCGATCGTAGCGTGATATTTTATAGCCTTATTCGATAAGTTGACGATCTAACACAAAAATAATTGTTTTAAATGTCCAATATTTCTCCTTTACGGGTTTTTAGTCAGTAAGAACTTACATTCCTTCCCGCCTCACCCAAAGCGAGAGAAGTCATTGCATGACTTTCCCCCCTCAAAAACAAAAGTACCCAGACCCAGGTATATTCGCTTCGTACTCATATGTAATGAAAACCATAGCATGTAATGTACGGTATATGATGTACCTAGTAAGTGTTCGGTATTACCAAAAAACAATGTGAAACTTGGATCGCAAAACAGTTACTAACTATAATATTGTATATAGGTAGCGTAAGATGTAGACAACAGACATCACCACGGTGCCATGGAACATCATGCCGCGAAACCGTCACTATGAAAAGGTACAATGACGTATGCTGTATCTGTGTCAGTGGCATCAGTCATCAATTTACGACCGCCGCCTTATCAAATAAGGCGCAAAATCAAAAAATTGCACAAAATCCACATACACAAAAATTACATTATTTTTATTTGCTAGAAAGTTCATATCGGTCACAGGAATTTACTGGACCTAGGCCAGGCCTCCCTCAATCCTCCCAGCGGCTTCCTATGCGTCGCAAGCTAAAGTGCGTATTAGATAGGTAAGTACTTCTTTATCGTTAAAGATAAGTGCAGTGCAGATTCAGAAATTAGAAGAGAGGCTACTTCATAAAATCAATTGGGGCTACGACTCTGCGAGTCATACTCATCATTTTAAAATTTTGTAATGACATAGGTACTTACATGTTGTTAAAACGAGAAATTGATCAATTAGGTATTTCTCGATCTAGAACTAAGAGTTCTGAGGACTGACCCCCAATTTCATTTTTTTTGCGATCATCGAATACCTACGTACCTAAAGCATCAATAATTAATTGACATGCCTACATGTATAACTACCCACATACCTATATGTGGGTAGTTATATGCGGTCACTTCCTCACATTTCATTCAAAATCACGGAGTTACAAATCAAAACTGCGAATAGATTACCCCTATACTTATTATACTCTTTGGAATAGATCCAGATTCTAATCATAGTCACAGTGATGAGGACTTCTACACACCACAACCTCGTTACTCTACCTATTTGTTTACAGTTACAGGTCTTGCTTTGCTACTCATAGTAAAGACTCATCTTTTCAGATTAAGAAAGTCTGCCGAAGGAGGACGGCCCGGAAAACGATAAAGCAATCTAATGACTTCCTATAACGTCGGAAACGCAATCATGATGCCTCTAGTTTTGCGAGTATGCGAGCTACAGTTACAGTAGGGTATAAAGAAGAAAAACAAAACGTAAAAAAGCTATATAAACAGCTCATTGTAGTTGGGTACCCGTCAAAGTCTAATGAAATGAGATATTTAACGTCAGTGGAAGTCACAATAAACGGTCGGAAACTGAATTTCAGCTCGTTTGTTTCCTACATCTTGGCTACCTACCCACTCTAGCTAACATTCGACTAAAACATGAACTCTATATTTATGAACGTAACAGGTTACCAGGGCTACGGCTCGAAGTGCAGGAGTAGAAACGGGGCGGTGTTTAGTCTGTAAAAGTCTGACACTCCCTGTCGCCTCACCGGGCTGAAGAAGTCATTTGATGATTTTGCTCGATAAAAAAATACATGTTCTTATGAGAACACAATTTTTAAAACATAAAATATGCTTTTACCTCTTTTCGAATTACCTTTGTGGCAAATGCATGGCCGTCGCGTTAAAAAGCTAAAATGATTTTAGTTCGAATTTTATATTGACGTCAATCAGATTTGTACAATACAAATGAAGACAAAAGAAAACCGACTAGCCGTTGGTGTTGGACGTGACTGTCGTAATATTGCGACTTGTGATCGGATTCGTAAAATAATTCCTTAGAATACCAATTACAAAAAGAAAAATGAGTGAGCCAATGAAGTCCGTTTCTGCCATGAACAAATTGTACATAGGAAACTTGCCAATAGAAGCCGATGAAGCTGCAGTAAGACAGCTATTCGCTGAGCAAAATCTGACTGTTGCCGATATCTCTGTGAAGAGAGGTGGTTATGCCTTTGTCGACTTTCCTGATCAATCAGCTGCTGATCGGGCGATCGATAAGCTGCATGGTAATTACATACGTACCTTACTTTACCTCAGCAATATTAAACTCATTTCTCAAATCTTATGTTTATTGGTAACAGCCAATTTTTGTATCGGTAGACACCATTGCATACGGTATGGGTTTGTTACCTATTAATTTTTTACCTGGACACTGATCAGATATTATTATGGTTAATTAATTAAATATATACCTAATATTACATACTTACCAGCATTTTAAAGTAGTAGTATTAGATGTATTAAGTAGGTACATGCGAAGTTAAACTGCTTCAAACAATTGTTTATTTCAATCATATCACTAATTAGTTGTATTGCTTTTCTTATTTCAGGTTACTCGTATTGTGGTGTACCACTGATCGTGGAACCGTCGGTGGCTAATAAGAAAATGTAAGTACCTCACTTGAACATACAAACAATTTAAAATGAAACCAAGCAATAATCTATTTTCCACAATAAGCAAGTCAAATCTTCTTTCTGGAAGGGGACTAGCTTTCTCGAATAATCTTTCCCCCGTAAAGTAGCACTGTTGTTTTCATGACACTGGACTCTCGACGCATTGTTCACTTGGAAACAATGGTTAATAAATTCGAGACAAATTCAACTTTCTAATATTTTCCAGATCTGTCTAAGACGATTTTTTGATATCGCTCACAAGCAGATTATGACTGAAGCGTATGGTGATAGGGATGACGAAATATTTTTTATGTATGATAATTTAAAGAAAACAACAAACAGGGCAGGGTATATTTTTTTAATATACCTTGACGTTTTTATTTTACATCCTTTATGAAAAATGATAATGAAGCCCTGAACTTTCTTTTATCTTATTTCGTTAATTGAGTACCTATGTCTCACGAAAAAGGAGTAACGGATCTGAAATAGGTGTACTTACTGTCAAAAATTGTAATTGTCTGTATAGGCGTGCCTTCCTTTAGTGAATAAAACAATGATAAACATACAAATTCTTACCGTATGTAAATAACAAATACCTAGACAACTTCTGATGCTACCTGTAGAGATGTATTTTTAATTATGTATGGAAGGTGGCAGGTTTACTCAATCTTCTTGCATTTTTTAGAGTCAACGTACCCAATCTCCAGAGCGCGAGTACCACTCAACTGAAGGAAGGCAATAATGACGCTCTCCCCGGCGGTTGGAGGTAAGTGAGCTTTCATATTTCTACGCTAAAACCCATTAAATACTTACAGGTCGAAAAAACTACAAAATGACTTCTTTTGATGTAAGAAGGGGTAGCCCTGTACCGGTTTGCGAGAAGCGAGGACATTAGGGCGTTCTTTAGGTACTTGTTTTAGTGATGTCGTGATTATGCAATTATCAAAGATCAAACAATTCTTTGACATTCCATGTTTAAACTCATATGAGTTAGGTAAAAATTAATATTATTTGAATATTATGGAATTAATTTCAGTATTGAAACATTATTTGAAACTTTAATATTATGAAGATTATAAGTTGCATTTTCCACTTATACATAACGTACCTAACACTGAAATAAAAATATAATAAAAAGCCTTTTGTTAAGAACAAACAAACGTATTGAAAATAAGATTGTTTCTTATTAGCTTATTACCAACTATCTGTTGACTTCAGAAGAGCACTATACCATCGTAATACTGACTGTACTGGTACTTCACCGTAAACGTATTGCTAGCAATAAATGGAATGTTATTGCAGTTAGAAGTGAATGTTGAATTGTTGACGGAATGGAAATGTCGTGATAAAGTAGTAAGCAAAGGATTACGTGAAACAAACACCATTCTTAATAGTCATTTTCTTACTAATCGTTTGTATAAGTATCGAAGTCCGAGTTTAGACTGCTAAGCCGATATATCGGTATCACCCCACATTGTTTTGTTTGGTAGTTTTAAGTCGGTCCCAGACTTGGGTCGCCAGTGTCGCCAGCGTAATGATATAAACAGTATTAACTACTGCTTTTTTTACTTCAAAATACTGTTGTGCAGCTATAGCGACATAGTTGTTCATTATGGGTGCGTTCATCTTACAGGCGGAATATTGGGGGAGCGTCGCACCCGTGCCGTGCGCCCTTTTAATACGTAATACAAAAGAATAAGCGTGTGTTATTATACTTAGTACGATTTTTCCCATCGAAGTATACATTCACGTGAATTCCATCCATGCTTCGGCACGATTGAGCATCTATTTCTGCCCGCAGGGTATGAGGTAATGAAGTAACCTAATAAATGGCATGGCGGTGGTGTGGTAGCTATAGTTCGCTCACTATAGCTTCCGTCCATCGTACCGTTGTAGCCTATCCGCTAACCATGTAGGGTTTCCCTATCTTCTGTTTGTTAGTTTAGCCTAGACTAGACCAAACTAGTTTGTCGTTTCTGACTGTAAAAAATTGTTTAGTATTGCTGTCCCCAAACTTCTGTGAAAATAAATGAATTTAAATATTTCGAATGAAGTGTGGCCCCAAACTTTTTGTCCGAAACATTAGTAGGTTACTCAAAAGGCTTCCCACATCTTCCCACCAAATCCCACTTGTGAGCTTGAAATAACCCTGATGTTACGGTAATTTTCTATTGGGAAGCGTCAATGAATCATCGTTGTTATACCACCATCATTTAAAAATTGCACAAAGCTATGCAATAATGCTATACAGACATGTCTTAATATTTTAAATGTAAATCTGTTTTACTTAGCTGTTAAGGTTTGTGAAATAGAGAATAAAACGTATTACCACTAACCTCGATTAGGGACAGATTTATCTCAGGACAAAAATTGTGACGACGCGCGCACACGGAAAGATCCCTTTCATTTCGAAAGAACTATTGGTTAAATAGAAGTAGAACGATTAGATATTTAATAATTTATTACTGGGTGATAGAATTATAATTAGATACGGGAGTATTTCAGCTTTCACGTTCACATTTATAATTCATACAAGGAGGTATGGGAGTTAACAGGTGCCCTGTGTATTTAAGCAGCTGGTCTCGATCGGCCCACCAATTTAGAACTTCTCGATAAAGAATTAAATAGGGACATCGATTTTGAAAGCTAATTTTGTAATTCGTTATAACGGACATATGTATGGCCTAGTTGAGAAAGAATGTGACTTAGTTTTGGTCAGTAGTGTAATCAGCATTGTCCGCTGTACTAATTATTAAAACTATTATAAATGATAGTTTGTGGTTATGTTTGTTTGTTTTGAAGTGATCGATGTGAAATTTGGAACTCGGATAGATTATGGGTTTGGAATAATATCTACGCGGGTGAAGCCGCGGGCAGAAGCTAGTGTTGTATGTTTTAGAGCACTGCGGGTAAATTAGCCTCGGAAGGTGCAGTTTCCGGGAAGATTGGATGAAATATCTACCTTAAGAAAATATTTAATCAATACTTCGTTTTCCGTAGCAGCATGAGATGATATGATTAGGTCCTTAGCTCAGGTACCGAATAGAAGTTACATTGGAATATTTTACACATTTAACTTTGAAATCTCTTACAAGGATTTTTTAATGTTGCCCACAAATTTTATAACGTTACTAATCTTACTATTTTACTTCTTACTAATTATAAATGTGAAAGTTTGAGACTCTGTGTGCATGTGTTATTAAATCAAGTCAAAGCAGCTGAAAGGATCGGGATGAAATTTAGAAAACAGGTAGATTATGATCTGAAATAACACGTACTTAGGCTACTTTATCCCACGGGAACGCCCCTGGCATAGAAGCTAATGTTTTATGAAAAACATGTTAATGGATTATAACTTTCTCACAGATTCACATTTTCAAATATCTGTATGTTTTATTATTTCGTCCTGTTCATTTTCCAACTCGCAAGTATCAAATTCTAAGCAAATGTCGCTCGCCCTTATTCACGAGGCTCTTCTCAGCACTCCCCTATAAAATTCGTTAAACTTCAAAGACCAAGCAACCAGTTCTGTACGAACGTTAGCGTTATATAATATCCTATTTTAATATAATTCTATTGGAGTAAGCTTAGCGTTTTATATCTGAACCGGTCAAAACTCGACGGATTTAAGTGATTTGTTTTTTTCTTAGCCGGCCCTTAGTTTGAAAGACATAACCGTCACCATGCTATAAAAACATGCTCTCGCCTTTAGTTCGGTAGAAACATGTTCGTCTATTTAACTTGTTAAACATTGAGGTACTTATGTTTGTGTCTTTGTTTGGATCTCCGAGTAACACGAGCTGGTGGACACACCCACGCCTGTGTTGTTTCCAGGCACATTTATTTTATCAGGCTTGTTAGACCTTCTCCCGACATTTGAGCAGATATTTTTGTCCCGGTAACAAACAACTGCGAAACAATTGTATTTACTTACTTTAGCCTAAAATCAATAAATAAATCACGTCCATTTAAGATTAATTAAAAACAATTTAGTCTATCTTAGAAATCTGTGCAATAATCATCAGACATTGAAACTATTGAGAGTTTATAAGTGTACTTATTCGTAACAAAGGAGGCTAATTTTACATTTATTTGCATTAGTGTGATCTTGTTTTGAGTAATTTGAGTTGCGTGTTCAACGAATTTGCCATACTACAAGCTACTTAATACTCATTACAATTTATAGCACACTTATTTTAAGGATATATACTTACCTACATAGATATAAATATTATTTTAGTTGGGGTAATATTTACGAATCGAGATGACTTTTTCGAATGTCTCAAGTTTATAATTAAGTACCACTACCTACTTTGTAATTTTATATTAACTGGTTCGACCTATTTTTAGAAACTCCATGGACAATTTCAAAAGTTGATGTTAATAAGATTTTGCTTTGATATTGGTTACCTGTTAGATTAGGAGGTAACTACGTAATGTGAATAACTATATAATAGTATAAATGTTAGATTTGCAATAGTTATTTGTGAATTGCGAATAATAAGTTAGTAAAATCTACACTGAATTAAAATAAGGTTGACGTAGTGTATAATAAGGCGGGCTTGTGTGTCGGCAGTGCGGCACGCATGGGGTAGTATTTAGTAGAATTGTCGCCCTTATCTCAATACGTGATCGGCAATCTTAGTGAAAGTGGGCTTTTATTACGCCGAGTTGAATCAATCAAATGATATGTAAAGAGGCAAGGAAGGCAACCGGTATAAAAGCTCGAGTACCTGCCCACAATACATTCCAGAGCGACTGCTTATCACTTGATATAGGGCTTTGTGCTCGATTATGATTTTATGGTTCTTACTGCACAATTGCACGTGCCAGACACAAGTCTATTAAAAAAAATATTATTATGTGACATTATTTAATGTAAGCAGTAGGTATTTAAGTAAACGTAAGTAGGTACATACATCGTAAGTAATATTCGACCGCATGTCATCACTCGGCCCACTGCCCGCGTAATTGTTCTGTCGAAGCTTTACTATGCGTAGCTGTACGTAGGTTACCCCAGCTTGGACGCGGAGGTAGGAAACGTTCAACAAGTAGTGTTCACTTTATGAACGATAGGCGCAATGGTCATTGCGGAATCAAAAAGTTATTTTTGCTGGATCATACAATGCAAACGTTTCTAACCATTCTATCTGTATCTGAATACAACAGTTCGTCAATTACACTTTATAGAACTTTGTAACCGGCGATGTAGGTACTTAGGTACGTACTTACTTTATCTAGGCATGTAGGTTAGGTACCTACTGTTTCTGTTCTAAGTTGGCATGAAGCAAGCTAGGAAACGAAAACAATGAAAGTGACAGGGTAGTGAAGGAAAAAGCGGAAAAAGTGTAGGTGTAGGACGTAGGATGTAGGTAGCCCGGCGCGGCGCGGCACGTGTCCGCCGGGTGTGACCCTCCGAGGAGCGCCCACGTGCCTCCGCGCGGATCGATAAAGATTCGCGCACGCGCCGACTCTCCCGCCATTCAGCCGCCAACCGGCCAGGACCTACCGAAACGTCCCCTGAAATACAGCCTCCATAAATTACGCACATTTCTAGAGAAACACCTTTGATATCATTACTGAAGATTATAAATATTATCTGAGAACGTTCGTGGTATTTAATAATTTCATTCTCCTGATTTGATTTGTTTCACAATTAGAGCATGCAAAGAGCTTTCCAGAATACGAGTACTTAGCTCACATGGCAACGAGGTTAATGTTAGAAAAATAGAAGCTACCCCCGGGCGATATAACATCTCAAGATGTTCTA